CCGAAAGTAACAATGAGGACGAACCACGAAATACACTAGCCTATGATCCTGATTGCTATAATGTAAATCACAAATTCTTTTATAACTTTTTGTTTTATAACTTTGTTCAATTATTTACGGATCTTCTCCCTTGTGTACGTCAATCAGTGTATACACAAACAGCCAGTCACGTAATGTAAGTGGGCCAACTGCATTCCGTCGCGGGGGAGGCGGGGAGAAATGCCTCGCTGTAGGGGAGGGTTATTTTTAGACGCCACACCGTCCCTCCCCCATTCTCTCGTATTGTCTGCCCCCGTTGTTCCCAATTGATTGTCCTTTCCCCCGCTTCTCTCCCCATTTAATCGCCCTTTCCACTGAAATGTTTTATCATACCGGATTACAGGATAAAGGAACAGAAACTTTTGCTCGACAACAAAGTTTGCCCGTGCAACTTTCTGCTTGCCGACTTTGTTCAGTTCAAAACTTATGGAAGTCGAACAAGTGCTTACTTTGCCTTGTTTGCTCTAATCTGCAGTTTTCTTCCTCCGGTAGTCATTCATATAGCCTACCTAGTTTTGAGGCAGAGATATATTTTTAATGTGGTTTGTATAATCTTTCCTTTTTTTGTCTGTAATTCATGAGGTTGATTTTAATCGAGCTTAAGTAATGACGTGTTCTGAAGGAATTGGCTTAAAGTTCTATACTTGTTTACGATTGTCCCATAAGTTACTAGTCATCTCAATGAACTGTGAGAGCATCAGGCGTTATTAGTCAGCGGTTAGTTTGATAACAAACAAAACAAATTAGCCTAAATGTTTAAATTTAGACACGCAATTGCCCAGTTGGCCTAAATGAGATTGCAACAATCAGAATATTGTTGTAGGTTGTAATTGTAATTGATGGATTGGACCGCAGGCGACCATTTACCTCTTTGGAACTTTATATGCTGTAGTATGTTTGAAATAATAAGTTATGAGGTGGTTTTAGCATGAATGTAGGCCTAAAACAATAACTAGCCGACTATAATGTTTGATTTCAAGATTCAAGTAGGCCTAAGGCTATTTATTACCATATCGTCTGTGCACAGTGTTTTACTACAATGCCCGCGTCACGTTGCGTAACCATATCGTCTGCCAAGCCTTGAAACGTCCGTTTAGACATTCTCCCAGAGCCCTCACACTTCCGTCGTTTGTTCGGCGTTGCTTCCCTTCTCATCGTTCTGTTGTCGGTTTCGCTAATTTGCCAACTGTGGGATGTTTTCCCTGTCGACTTCCTAATGAACCACAATTGGACCGTCATGCCCAATGGTCTTGTACGAATTCAAGGATGATTCGGTTGTGGAAACACTCGCGCATTCAAGGTGGGATATGGGGCGTATAAAATAGAAGGCCGAGTCGACCGTTCGACTAAATTGTTCAGCGCTAGCGCTGCTTTGTTTATATCACTTGTGCGCTATGTTTCTCAGCAGCGTTGTTTGATGTAGATTTGAAAGCACGTGGCTCTCTCGTTGCACTGGCCGGGTGCCAGTGCCTTTATACATAGCACAGTAACATAATGTATGGGCGTCAGAGGCAGTAGCACACTGAGGGCTAGCTGTCAACAATCAGGCTAACTGGCGTCCGTCCAAGTCCATTAAAATAACTGGCAGAGATTCGCCTCTCACGCCTGCTGTGACTGTGAGTCACACGAACTTGTGCTATTGATCAAGGTGTGCTGTTGCATCAGAAATGTCGCACGTCGTTACACAAACTCTTCACATTTGCCTCTAGATATAGGCAAGGAAGGACCTTCCCCAATAAAATAACCGTCATATCCTCAAAACACATCCGCTATTATTCTCTAACAACAGTTATCTTACAAAACTAGTTTATGGAAACTGTAGCTGTCTTTAGATCACCGTCATAAGAAACAGTTTTTGGCATAAGGTTTTACTTGGTCATCTACAACGATTTCCGCTGTTTGCGGAGTGCTGTATGATGTGGTTTACCAATATAAACGACACACGACGGGGACAATTCATTATTTAGCTTTGCATTGATTATTTATCAATGTAGAAAAATGATTATAAATTACTCGATTGGCACGATCACGATCTCATCTAGGCTGTATTGTAAGTCAAGCTTATTACGCGGAAATGTCAATTTATAGACCGCTGAAAATTGCTTTGAAGGTCTGTCAGTTATACCTCGGCTACGGTCTGCAAAATCGAGTTTCCTCGGGAAATTAGTCCCAGCAACAAAAAGTGTGACTAATGGAGGGACAAGCTAGGTGGTGACGTGGAGAAAGTTGTACAATGACAATGGCACAGTCCCTGTACAATGAAGTGTATTACAGGCTGCCATATTGTCTGAGGTGTATGATGGTTGATGGTCGGAATGCCGATGCCGGTCAACAAGCAAGAAAGGATCTAATCTAATGAGTATGTAAACTAGGCTGGCGGAAGGAGCTCTCCCACTCGGACCGGTTTGTCTGGATTAAATAACCTCTCCCCTCCCTGGCTCATGTTTTATTCAGGCGGTGTCGCCTATCTGTGAGTCCATCTGACATCTGGCGCGGCGCCGCACCCCCCCCCTTCCGGCTGTTCATAGCCCCAGTTTCCAGTTTTTGTGGGCCGCGAAAGGGTCCGGATTAAGTTTTACTACATGACGTTGTTTGCCATTCCTTATCGCCGGTCAAACTAGTTCTTGTGTCAGCTTTGGCTTGCCTTCTTGGAAATATGTTTTCATTATTTATTTATCGTGAGCATTCTTTCTCTCCTTTCGCAATATGTTGCATTAATTAAAACGAGACAGTCGATATAGTAGATATACTTAGCCAAGAGAACTAGACATCTGATCTGCCTTATCTAGAACCAGGTTCTACAAACATAAAATATAGCCTAATCACTTTTGCCGAAGGTCGAAACAGGGTGTAGCATTGAAGGAAGGTTCCATGTATATCAGGGCACCTAGTTATCGTTATCAGAATGGTTCGATCTTGATGGTTTGAAACAGGTTTCAGCTGTTCTTGAATATTGAAAGTCCAGCTAGAGCTAATCCTAGTTAGTACGTAACAAAGATAGGCCACCTCATTAATTCATTACTTATCGTCGTCGTATATAAGTCTCCTAGTTGTAGTGACTTGGTGTCGAAGATTGACCTTGCCAGAGGTCGAGGACCGCGCCGCGCTGTAGCTGTAGCCCAGACCAATTGGTCTAATTGGGGTATTCAAACAGGCCATTGTTCCACATGATGTGAGCCGCGTGCAGTCTTCTTGTATGGTAATACTTCCGTTGCCCCCGCCCGCCGCCCCGCTACCATCGTGGTATGGTAATCGGCCCCCTTGCGATTTGTGACCCATTCGTTTCGCCCCATCTCTCGCTGTATTTTTGCCGTAATCTTAATAGTCCGTATTTGTTGTTACTTTTCACTTTACGATTTAAATACACTTGTAAAATTGGTCCATCGCATTTTGATCTAATTGGTGTGTGATTGTCATTCTTTTATTTAAGACTAATCAAAACTAGGGAGTGTGACCATAGACGATAGTTTAATAAATGTAACTTTCCTCAATTTCTTTCGGTAATAATTGAGACATTTATTAGATTCCTAGTTAATGTGTGTGTAATCATTACCATACGTTGCTAGTTTTCTAGATGATGCATCACTGTGGCTGTGAGTGGGTTGGGAGAGTCTGGTTTATTTACATTTTTTGCCTCTCGCTACCCTCGGTTGTTGTTCATTCGATTCACAATAGATGACGTCACGAGAGGACCGTTAGTTCTATAGAAATGTTCTTGGCCTGGGACTCATTGTGGACGGTTGCCCTTTACCTACCTGGTGGCTTGGCACGACCCATAGAACCGGACTTGGATTATGGAGCTATATTTGTGAACTCTGTGACAATAGGACTGCTGTTCCTGCAAATCATTTTATTTTTATCAGATTTACACCAGCCACATGGCCAAAGATATTTGCATTCAAAACTGTTACAACATGCTTAACACATATTTGTGTAGGCCTATATTTTCTTTGTTAGTGGATCTGCTGCTATAATATATTGAGTGTAGCGAACAGCGAGTGCCACGTTGACAAAGTGTGTTGGAGTTGGACGGTGGTGATGCCAGAGGTATTCCCCAGCGCTCGCTTGCCAGCCAAGTCAACAGACTTCCCAATCCGCTATTGATTTTCATTCTCTTGGCTGCCGTCCACTAGCCTCATTATAGACGACTAGACGATTCTCTGACTGACCAACGTGTAGGGATGCAACACTTGAAAACAACACATTTGCTGATCATAGACTTGTAATTATGTTCGAGATTTGTAACAATATCAGCGTTTTGGTGTAAGGGATTTATACGCATTCATTCAATCAGCCTACACGTAGATGCCATCACTCCTTAATTATTTATAAGGATTATTTTTGACAGAAGCCGAAACTGAAGAACTTATGAAAAAGAACAAAACATTTTTGGCTGTCTGCTTTGTATAGTAGGCCTATATAAGAAACTGAAAAAAAAAAACACACACAAATATTGTTAACATGAAGTGACATGAATTAAAAAGATAAATTCATCAAAATTAGGTTTTGTAATGCATAACGCATAGTTTTTTTCAAATCCACAATATCTATCCATAAGCCTACAATTTTCTCAGTTTACCTCCATTCGCGAGCTACTGGAAAAATAATAAGCCGAACCAAATTGGCACTAAAATATTTTACTGCATACGAATGACAATGGGCTATAACGGTCTGTTATACAATTGTATTTGCATTTATTGTATCGGCTACTCTCGTATTGCCGATTGCTATTCGCGGTGTTGGTGTTGTACGTTTCCGGTCTGGCGTGTTCACTGTAGACTGCTGACACGTCACGTCACGTGGTATACCGGAAGTGCGTGCGTCGACACATATCCAAACCAAGGCCCTGAGTAGCGTCCTCGCCAACTGGACCACTGCCAACTACCGGTCTTCTTGCATGCTACTTGTGATGTTTTACACATTCATAGGACCAGTTACTCATATCCACCTCTCTGTTACAGATAAGCCGGACAGTAAGAAGAAGCCTCGAACGAGACGGAGGAACAATGGAGTCAAGCCGATCACCAGGAGTAAAGAGGACTTAGAGAACAAGGGGAAAAAGAAGCGCTCCGTAGAACCTAGGCCGGCCAAGAAGAAAGTGTTGGAAGAGGCGAACAACAGCAAACTACGGAGACTAGTGGAAGTGCGCGTAGAGGATTGTCTGAGGCGAGTGAACAAAGAGTTGAGTGGAGTGGTCGCGAGTGAAGTGGTCCAAGAGGACAAGGCGGGCGAGAGTGAGCGCGAGGAAGTGGTGGTCGCGGAGGATGAGGAGGTCGCCGACGAGTGTCCGACAGAGAGCGCGAGTGTTGTAGAAGAGCGAGTGACGGAGACGGAACCTACGGCGGAGGTGGACGCAGACAGTGAGCGGACGGAACGCGTCGACGATGACGGTCCGACCATGGAGCTGGCCGGTGACAGTACCCCAGCCGTTCTGCGCTTCTCCGACGACCGCTCGGACTCCGGAGTGAGCAGTCTCCGTAGCGCAGGAAGTGGCGATGAAAGATCAGGTAGTCGCAGCAGCGCCTTGAGCAGTAGCGACGAACCGCGCAGTGGAGGTAGTGGCAAATCGTCGTCCCCAGTGGTCTGGCGAGAGCCTGCGGACGTGAGACACGTCCACAGTGTACAGCATCAGTCTCTGCTCATGTCGCATCCCGGGGGCTCAGCCCCCCCAGCCCCGCCACCAGCGTCTCACTACCCACCACCCTTGATGGCGCCGCATCCCCTTCATCACTTGCAGGCCCCCGGCAGCCACCTGTACCCCCCTCACGTGGACATGCTGTGGAAGCCGAGGTACCATCATCCCCAGAGCCAGCTGTCGCACCACCCTACTGCGGAGGAGCTCCAGGAGCAGAGAGAGCGTGCCTACGCCCAGGACCGCCACGACAGGCTAATCAGGTACGTCAGCATAGCAATACTGTAGAAGGCTACGTCTTTTGTTCAAAAATTAACACTTGTATTGTAAGTTTTTCACATCATAGTTCTTTACATCGTTGGTTTTTCAAATGCGACATCAATCAAATATTTATTAACGAAACTAAGAATTTGGACGGTTTCCAAAGCAAATACTGTACGTGGAAGGCGATTCTGTATGCGGCGTGCATTTATTGGGAGTTTGATATTTTGTGTGTAGCATATCAACCAACCACATCCATTGAAGAATATAAACGAAGCGTACTCGTTGGGTATTATTTTACTTTATTTGTTCTATACTGTGTTTGTACTTTTCTAAGTTTTTGTAACAGGACAATTAAAATTAACAAGTATGTACCCTACTTCCATGGCAATAGTAAACAATGATAGAATTCAATGGGGGTCATAAAATGACGTCATATGATTTATACATGACTCTGCCTTCAGTTGAGGAATGAAAGGACAGGTGTGCCCAGTGTCCACTGTCCTGTTGGTTTTATTGTTCCTCTCCAATAATAGAGCTGGCAGTTACGCCTGTCGTCCCTTGGCTGTCACCAACCAATGATCATTGTAGTCTGTTGAAGCTTCTTTAGACATATTAATATACTTTTAAAAACATTATGGTATACAATGGGCCTATCACGTAAATACTACAGTAAGACCTCATTTATATTGTTGTAGTAAGTACCGATGGACCGGTATAGTTGATTTCGATTATAAAATCAATATAAAGGAAACTCACGTTTTATTAACAACAAATTTTGGCTTTTGTTATGTTTCAGAGGAATTTAAATTTATGATGGAAATTTTAACCTGGCAAACACAATACAATACCGGTAATTTATTTTACATCGATGGTAAAGATCACTCGTTTATAAAATCTATAGGCTACTTGCATAAAAAATGTTAAAAAAGTTTGTTTGAATTGAAACAGCTGATTGAACAACGACTTGTAAAATCATGTACGGTATATCATCTTATCATTTAGACATTTTCTACCCCATTTATCGTGTTAATTACTTCCATCTTTTTGAACTTGGTTTAGTTTGATAGGAAATTTTAAACTCTATAAGAGTATTCTTGGTATTTTTTTTTTCATAAAACAAACCATTTTAAGTAATTTAAGTAGGTAGTAAAAATTAAAATGGCCGCAATTTTAGAACCAAAAGTTTTCATTTTTATCGATAATTAATTGTAACAGAGTTATTTTGACTTCATAATACTGTCGGCCTAAACCAACTGTCATAATGACATCTTTAATAGTTTTTTTTTTATATACAGTACATTTAAAACACAAAAAACTAAATGGTGGATATATAGGTAAGGCAATTTTGGAAAAACATGTTATACCTATTCTTTATTCTCGTTTTATTTTGACACAGTACTCTCTGTATCGGCTACACTACTGCCCACAACAACACGCCTATGACGTACACTACTGAGTTTGTTACTTTATGCAATGCAACCTTGCATACTGACGTCCAGTCCTTTAAACTGCTTGTACTTGTCGCCGCAGTCTGCCAGAAAATTTGCAAACAACTCAAGAGCGCGGAGCCATGTTGCCAAACCACATTTGGCAGCCGAGCTCTCACCTCGTGCCAAACTGCCGCTGGTGCATTGCCCTGCTTTACTGTATATTCTCTCCACTCACCACTCACTACTCACATTCACCAGGTTTAAAATCGTACTCGCTTGGAAAATATTCAATCAGAACTTGGCCCTACAAGGTCATCTTCACGTGGAACAAACGTAAACAAATCTTGTCATTCCTGGGGGTAAATAGTTTCATTCTCGTTAAAAGTACTTACTGTAGTCCATAAATAACAATTCAAACTTTCATTGTTCATTGAAGTAATAATAAAGCGTTCGCCATCCTCTTGTAAACAAATAAAGCTGTTTTCAAGATTTTTAGATTGTATCTACTTTGTGATTTCTTATTGTCATGCTACATTTTCAAATTAGTAAATAAACTTTCTTTGGTTTTGTTTTAACAAAGTTTTAGTGGTTAACGAATAATTTGTGGACCCGTTCTACGGTGATTTTTAATTTCATTATTGAATGTAAAAAACCCCTCATTAGCAATCTTTGCCACTTACTTTTCATCCGGTTGTATTAAATAGTTAAACATACTGATCCATATACTCAATTATAACATCCTTTTTTCAGCCATCTTACTTAACCGATTTTTACTGTGGAGATGCACTTAAAAGTTTATTATCTAGCGCACCTGTGAATGGTAATTAAACAAGTAATATCCTTTAGTGATTCGTACCTCTAGAGTTCAATTTATTTCTAGAGTTTGCTTTCAACGATCCAGTGATGCTGACCAACTTTCTTTATAACGGTTTAGTTGTTGATTGCTAGTTAACCGCTGATACTTCAGTTGAATGTCATACCGTCATACCTTCAGATCTTAAACAATAGCCAAAACAGTTTATGAAAACGTAATTTTAATACGCTACTTTTTGATAATTATTTTAACCCGATTGAGGTTAAATAGCTCTTAATGATCGAACAGATACAGATCTAAAATTTACGAACATGTCAGATTTATTCACCATTTAAATACCATTAGGTTTAACGAGTACTTATAGGTTTGCTGCTACAGGGAGGGTAATAAAAGTGAGTTTTAGTCAAATGTCAATAGCTTAGTAAAAAATAACCGAATTTGCCAAAGTTTGATCAAAATCTATCCATAAACAAGCAAACTACCACAGTTAATTTACTCGCTATAAGAATAAAATGGTTTGAATTTTATATCCCTGTAACCAATAGCCGAATGAAAACACTTAGAGAGTAATAGAGAAATTCTTTATTTTGAGAGACAAAAATGAGAAAACCCTATTTTACCCGATAAAACCCCCCTCAAAACCCCGCTCCCCTTGTCCGATCATGCTGGTTTGCGAACTTGTTTGATTAAAATGTAGGTTTTCAAGTTTTTACAGTACTTAATTTTGTCAAAATCGGATCATTTTTAATAGAGTTATCGTGCTAACAAGGAGTAAATCGGTCACGGGCCTGAGGTCTTGCCATGAGACATACAATAATAGCTTATTGCCTATATAGGAAATTCGCTAAAATAATACCATGGAGTGTAAATGATTTTATATTTTTCTTTTATATTGCCTAGACATTCCATCCTCGTGTTAAATTTGTAGCCAGTTTTTTTTTTACCAAAATCGTCGTAGTTGATGTGAGCCACCGACAGATTGTGCTGATCTAATAAATCACTGATTTATGTTGAATACACAATCTTTTTTACCAAATCAAACTAATGGAATTACCTATTGTGAGCTATAGCAACTGTTATGAACCAGCAACTTGGCCAGCTACAAAAAATAAGGTAGAAAATAGAGTTTTAGTCACTAGCGCATTCTGTGACTGGCTCACACAACTACGTTCATGTTTAACAAAAAATTGGCTACAGCTGGTCCATCTCGTAGATGGGACGTCTACTTCAGTATCCAATTTTACCGTACAGCCGTAGGTTTTTACCGTAGGTACTGTTTAGAAAAATGTTATTTTATGTTAACTTTAGTTTTGGGTATTTTGTTTATTTGTGGAGGTCTACTATTGTAGTTTGGTAACAATAAATTCACTTTTTTCGTTTCATTTTAATTTCAATACAATGGCTATTGACTGCAACCAGACACGCCATCGACATCGGCGAAATCAGAGGCTGAGATAATCTAAACTAGCGAATTTCGATCTGGGTGCATAGCATAATAGTTTAAATTAAGGTATTAGTTAGATATTTTTGTAATCACTTATTGAAGTCCCGCCCCTTGGTATAGCGCGCTAGCGCTTGTGTATGTCCAGCATTCGGAATATTAAATAAAGCAATCTGTTACTATGTGTAAATCAATGTTAACATGTCAAGCCTTGCATATTAATTGCAAATATGGACTGACCGCGATAAAGCTATCAGCGTTTATTGATAACCTTTGTTGGAACGGCGATAAGATTGATAATAGTTCTCATTGTAGATGAAACCAAATAACTGTATTTAGAAATCGCTCGTTTTCTCGCGGCTATACATTCTACAGTAATATATTAGATAGCCAATATGTAACATTAGGAGAATCGAAATTCATGGGCAGTAAGTATAATTTTAATGATGGCACTACACAGTATTAATACTAGAAATGTTAGAAATAAGAAATTATTACTGCTTTCTATTATGCCATACAGAGATTCATTGCCAGCATTTGAACTTACTGCTCGAGTTAACTGCTCGAACTTACTGCTACCGGTATTAAGTTTAACTTTTAAGGATTATTATTTAATATAAGAATTATTGATTACAAGTGAAAAGTAAAGTATATTATGTATTCACATGTCAGCATAAATAGCGTGTCAGGCAAAGATTACCCTACCCTAAACTTGTTTACTTTATAAGGTCACCAAGTCTTATTTAAATTTCCCTACTATGCAATATCTCACTAAAAGTCATTTTTGCCAAAACAAAACGACAAAAATTCAAATATCAGCATAAAATAAAACAACTTTCCAAAACCGTGGTTTGTTTATCAGATCGTTTGTAAACTTTCCAAGGAGGGTGAATAATTGGCGTAATGTGGTGGTACGAGGTGAGGTAATCGAAGAAATATTGAGGAGGGGAAGGTCAGCCATGTTGTGGGGTAGAGGGGTGAGCTAGCTAGGGTCGATAAACAGTGGAGTGTGGAGTGGTTGGTAGAGTCTAGTCCAGTGTGCAGTGTGCGCCTGTCCGGGTAGACGTAGCCATAAGCACTCATCATCACTCGTCAGTCATCAGTCGTCAGGTGTCGGTAATGAGTACTTGTGTTCCTCAGGGATCGCAGAGAACAAGAGAGAGAGTTGGAGAAGCAGAAGGAGAGGGAGCGTGAAAGGGAGAGGGAGATAAAGACGGAGAGAGACAAGCAGGAACGGGACCGCATAGAGAGAGAGCGACTGGAAAAACAGCGAGCGGAGCAAGCGGTCCACAAACACTTTGAGGAGTCGCTGCGACTGGCCCAGGCTAAGGTAAGGGCTTGCATGACCTTGAGTCAGGTATCCTACAAACCGGTCTTGCTTTCCCTTCCTCTCCCCTCCCTCCCCCCGGGGCTAACTGATAATGATACCCTCGTCACACGACGCTCGTCAGTGAATCAGACTTTTACATGGTCGTGTTGTGTCCAGTTGTGTACTGTGTATTGGACGTAAATAGTGTATAGTGTTTAATGGATCGGATTGCCCGTGAGTTCTGCATATCTATGATTGTAAGTCTCAACCTCCTATGGATAAAAGTGTTTACCCACCACTGAATGGTACTTATTACATACATCTCGTATAGATTTTATACAAATAATCTTTGAACTGGTTATATAAAACCACGTGCTTTCGGAATGTTATACAATACATGACGTTGGTTATTTTTACTTTAATTCTGTTTTCAAATTATTGTTTTAACTAATTTGTTTTTGATGTGGACATTCCATATTGAACTAAGCTCATGATCAGCTCGGGTAGTTGTACTAGTACAAGGTCTTCAGTCAGATCAATACAGCAAGCTGAGCTACGTGACCCTCCCCCTGTCTGGCATGTCTGCTGCCTAGTGACTGCATTGGCCTGTTCTTCACGTTTTGGTATACAATTAGGTGATCACAACACAATCACAATGAAATGTATTCTTCCATTTGAAACATTCTACTCTGAGTTGCAATAACTAACCTGTTATTCTTGCCTTCTAAATTGACTCAGTATCCTAAACTAAAGGGACTTGGCTTTAAATATTGTCTAAGTTAAGTAGCTTTGCTACGGACACTTTGTTAAATATCGCCCGTTTCCGCCAGGCGAAATGAGAGACAAAGGTAACATTTAGTTAAAAAGGGCTCTCATTTTTCTTTATACATGTTATAGTTTACTTGTTGTGCATCATATTCACTGCTTCACTTACTCAAAATTTTGTATTTTTACCGTGTTTTGCTATTAACTCATAAAGTTAGTTTGAATTATAGCTTTAGTCAAAATTCACTTTTTTCAGCCTCCAAAGGTCATTTATTGTTTAATTGGTCAAGTATTGTGGGATTGTTAGAGTATTACATTTTAAACTGTAATTGTTAGAGTTTTAATTAAGTAACTGTTATTTTTGTAGGGTTGGGACACATTGAACTCTACAATAAGCCTAACTCCTGCAATGGGGGGTGACCGTGCAAGAATGCCAGAGAAGCTTCAAAACTCCATTTCAGGGGTAAATACTGAGACGAACTTTGTATTTCATGTGAATGGCAGTGAATGTGATGTGTAACATTTGAACTTGTATGGGGATTTTAAACTTATTATTTCAATAAAATCTGACTGAATGTGTTTAGCAAAGATGTTACGGTAGTAAAATATTTGCCAATTACATTCCACTCGGGGAAATAATTGCAGTCATTTAAAGCTGAAAAGTTGTCCCTTTGATGCAGAGGAAATAATGCAAAAAGAAAGTAAACTGCTTGAATCAAATAACATTCTGTGATATATGCAATATTACATCCGTTGGGGTTAAAACTTCATTGGCCACACCCTCAACCTTCATTCTTTGCAGTTTGTGTGTTTGTAGTCCTTCAACATATCTATACCAAACAATTGCTGCTAGTGCTTTTGTCTATTTTAAGAATGATATAAAACTGCAAAATCTTGATTAAATCTTTGGATACACAGGTCTCTTAAATGCAACCTTAAATATAAATATATGAATTCAAAATTTTCAAAGCAAGTAGGTCTTACCGATTTTTCCAAGTTTGTGCTCATTCTGGCTCCTGACAAAAAATTGATTCTCAATTCTTAGAACCGGTACCAGCTCAATCGGTAGTTAAATGAATTGTAGCCTACTTATTTTTCAAAAGTATTTTGCTAACATAAACATTTTTTTATGACACAACTAGCAGAGTGTGTCCTTCGTACGGTGTTGGCATATAAGTATAAAATGCTTATTACAGTTATACTCATAAGCTTTGCGTATGCAATGGGGGAGGACACATTTTGATAAAATTTGCTTCTTTAAATTTATGGTATACTATAGTATTACACATCTACCATAGCCATAATGTTCCACTACTTCACCTAAACAATAGAGGCAAATAAATAAATTAAAATGTTCAAAATATCTAAAATAATTAATGAAATTCAAAACAAATTTAACCGTAAACAATCCTACTTTGACTGTTCTCATTGCATATCACAGGTTTTTGTAGCTGCTTAGTTAAAATTCACTGTTTTCATAAAAATGCAAAAAAAATTATAGTGCTGCACCCTGCTGGTAAATCTTATATCTTTTAATGCTTTTGCATATCATAGAACCAACTTTTTTAGTTGAAACAGCTGACTAAACTCTTTAATTCCCTTTAAATATGAATACTCATAAGGTTAGCATGGGGAACTACAGAGCCACTAGGGCGGAGCCCGAAAGAATTTTCAAGGTAAGAAAGAATATGCCTTTATGTTAATCGGGAATGTGAGATATCATCATGTGAAATTTCAGCCCAATCCATCTAGTAGTTTATGCGTGATTGAACCTCAAACAAACAAACAAACACACAAACTTTCACATTTATAATATTAGTAAGATTATGTGTTGTTGTAAAATTATTAAGGTTACATGTACTAAAAGAGGAATTTTGTGGTTTACATGTGTATTTGTGATTGTAGTTTCATTGCAATTAATTTTTAAAGTAATAAGCAAATCCAAAACCAAAGTCAAATGGAGGGCATTGATTTAATACAAATTTATACAGTATTTGTTGCATGAATTGCAACTTTTAATTAACCTACTATTGTCGTACTATTCAAGGGGTGTCGATGGTCCAACCGTTTTGCATTGTAAAAGTCCCTCAAGAGAAATACTGGAAAATTTATGAATAAGTACTGCTGATTGCCTATGACCCAGCTCTTTTATTCATTAATGGAATGCCAAATCTAAACTTAGATGGTTCCATTTTCACGCCCCTTTATCATGTGAGGTAAATGATGACAATGCACAGGAGATAATCACAGAGATTATCATGGATGTTGATTTCAAATGTTTCAAAGGTTTTGAGTTTTGATTTAGATACATCACTAATATACATAAAGAAACAAAATTAATTTAGCACGCAGGGTCAAATTTACCCATATGTCACCGATAGAGATCATTAAACAGTTCTCCTTAGGCCTACTGGGTACAACTTAAGCAAGGCATGGCCAACTGGCTTGGCTGCGTGGCACAATCATCGCCGGCTTCAAAATGGCATCGTGCCCTGCGGCTTAACCTAAAACAAAGGCCATGGCACACAGTACTGAGATGCAGTTTGATTGAAGATGAGTTGTTGTTAGCAGCTGCGTTAGCCTCGTTGTTATAGTTACTGGTGGTTTGACCTGATTAATGATTAAATATTGGATGACACTGACATATTCATTTTAGAATACAGAGTTATAGCTGGGTTTAGGAATTATTTTCTAATGGCATTGACAGATTTTGAAAACTTACATTAAAAAAATTGGTTTTCTGCCACTTGGATCGAACCTACTACGCTTGGCTTTCTCTTTGATCTAGCTTGACAACCTGTTGGTTTGGGATCGGCATGCAGCATTGCTAATCGGCACAGTGTGGTACAAGCCCGCTTTGCGTCAACACTTTCTGCTTGGCAATGCCGATCTGTGCCATTTGGAATAGTGGGGATGCAGCTTTAGGAGTTATGGATTCTCTGTCATAATGCCAGCAATATGCCACAGGTTATATCCATTATCGTAAAATTAGCTGCCAATTTTTCCAAGAGGTTATCGATATACTGGTTTACACATTTGAAAGTAGTCGCGAGAATAGCAAATGACAAGCGGTGATGTTCTGTGTTACGACGAGAGTCGACTTAGTTTCCTGAAACACTCACAGATAGCAGCACTGTCTGGAACTACCAATTGGAGGGAGAAAGACGGGAAAACAAGTTGATTTCTAAGCTTGCCAGAAGGGGATTTTATGGGAAATTTACAACCAACCTATACTACAATAAAGCACCCATTTCTAGCTAAACGCAGACAAAAATACCCGTTCTTCCCGGTGTGCTGCTGTGCAGAAATTGAATTGAATGTGTTGATTGTGTGTTATTGTGTGTGTTGTGTTGGAGGCGATGTCGCGACTCATGGGTGAGCGTTCAGGGTGGCAGAAAGGAACTAGAGCACTCACCGGTGAGTGGCCCGCTCTTGAGTTAAAAGTAGTTAAGTATAGACCACCACCACCTTTTGAACGTTAGTCCTTGAACAGCTTTATTGTTGCTTTTATTGGACAACAAATTTCGGCTAAAGGGCTTCAAGTAAAAATTATTGTAAATACTATCATTATTAAAGTTCGAATATATATTTTTTATATGGCACACTTAAAATTATGTTTGTCAACACCAGTTGGTTTTGTTACAGAGGAGTGCCAAGGTAGAGTACCCACCCCCGGCACACCGCCCTGTAGGAGGAGTGAAGGATAAGTCTTCTGTCACCTCAGGACTACCCAAGGCTGAACCCAACCTCACCAACCTGTTCTACTCTGGGTATCAACCTCCTCTTGCCTTCATTCACCATGATCCCTCCAAGGTGAAGTCGGAGTTGAAGGCATCACAGTCTCCGTCTCTGGTAGTCACCAAGAGTTCACCTGCCGACAGGGAGATGGGGCTGCCCAACCCACCACCCTTAATGTCAGATTTGAAAAATTCAGTGATAGTGGAAAATAAAATACCCAAAACAATGGACAAAACTAAACTCAGGGTGTCTGAACCCCACTATCTTCCCTCTGCTCCATCAGGAGGAGCTCAAATGAAGTACGAGTATAGAAGTCCTTCTCAATCCCCCCACTTGCTCTCACACCAATCCCATCATTTTGACCAAGCTGCAAACTTAGCGAGCATTAGTAAAGTTCATAACCACAACAGTGCTCCTGTTTTACACCAACGGGCAAGACAATCGCCACTTCCTCCTCATAGACAATCTCCCCACCCCCCTCACCGCCAATCACCCCACCAACCCTCTCTTCCCCATAGGCAATCTCCCCATCCTCATCCTCAAAGACAATCTCCTCATCCTCATCCTCATGCTTCCTCTCCGGACCAAAGGTATCCACCAGGAACATTAATTTATTCAAAGTCTGCAACAGTAAATTCCTACCCTTACCCTGCTCCAGCGCCTCCTCCTCTTCATTATGCAGCTCCAGTTACAACACCTCCTAAACCTAAAGTTAGCAGTCCCGCACCACCCCACATATACGGTAAGCCTAGCAGTGGAATTTCTGCGGGAACACCCATTTGTAGAGCACAAGAAATGAGGCTAAGTCCACTACCACTAACATCAACGAAGGCTCCATTAACAACTTCTCCGTACCAGCAAATGCCACAACACCACCCTCCCTCTCAACACCATCCTCCACCTCAGCACCAGGGAGGACCACTGAGAGATAACCTTCATCAACCTCCACCTCCAGCTCACTCCAGCAGGGGGGTTTACGGGATGTACCAACCTCCTCAAGGCCCAGGACTGGCAGTTAGTGTTAAACCTCCTCCATCATCTCCTCCGTCGAGGTCATCCCCTCTTGCGGCATTCCAGACACAACCCTTAGACCTCGGTGTCAAAGAAGACCAAGACCGAGGGGCATCACCGAAGAGAAAACTCGCAGATGATCCTGAGTGTTTGGACGCAAAGAAGCGGCGCAACGAAGAGCCAGTGCTTTCGAGGGTCAGTGAGCCTAGCCCTCTATTGGCTAGTGCGGCTACAACGATTACTACAGTAGTGAACACTGCCGTAACGGACAGTTTAGATAGACCAAGTAGTGCGGGAACCCCTGCTCCTCCCGCCTGTCCTAGTCCTAATACCCCTGCCAAACCTCCTAGTGGGGTCGACAGTGAAAAGTCAAATAGCCCTGGCCCACCTCCTAGGACTACATCATCTTACCCTGTTCATAAACTGAAAAAGGCATGGTTACAAAGGCACTCCGGAGAAGATGGTACAGACGATAAGGACATTGTCGGTTCTGGTAGTTGCGTTACACTGCCAATTACACTTCCTAAAAAAGAGGAACGAACTGAATGTGTTAGTGCTGTGAATTCTTTACATAGTATAGGTTCTATGGCTGTTAACAGTATAAGTAAAACTAAGCCTAAAAATGGTAGAAAAACTGCCAAAGATAGTCCTTTATTAAACGGTCATACGTCAGGGAAATTGCCTGATGCTGATGACTCGTCGAGTTCGGATCCGGATAGGAAAGCTTCGCCCCCTAAAAGAGTGCCTCCTAAAGTTAAAAGAAAGAAGGGTGGGAGAAAGCCTGTGGTAGAAGAAAATAAGAGAAAAAAGTTGTCTGCTAGTAGTACTGATAGTGGTAAAGAAAGTGAAAGTGACAAAGAGAGTGATACGGGTAGTGGCAAGAAGGCCGCGGGTGACAAGAGTGAGAAGACAGCAAAAGACAGCGGAAAGAAGAGGGGTCGGAGGCCTAAAACCAATCAGTCCACCCTTCCAAAAAACGAAGGAGGTAAGTTTAAAACTGAAAGTTTATCTACTATTTTATCACCACCCATTAGCTACTCTTTAACAATAATTATTAAATAATTTCAATTCCTATTGGCTTTTAATGAATCTAGTTTGTTTTCATAATCTTATAAACACTTATGATAAAAAAATAACTAGTAGTTGGCTTATTTTTCTTAAAAGGAAAAATTCTACACTTAATTTGGTAATTTTAGGCACGGTGTTTTAATTACTGGTTCATTTATTAGCGTGACTCTTTCAGGTACGACTTTATCTTTAAAATATTTTGTCACATTCACTATAACAGACACAGTGCCATCCCAGCAGGGAGCTTTATAGACTTCTACTACTGTTTAATGAAAACAGGAAATATTCTTCTAATTGAGACAAAATCATAATTACCATTTGAGTCCTCTAGTTTCTTCTTCTGTCCAGGCTTTTTACTGTAGAATAGCAATAGGCGCACTTTTATACCTGTTACAAAGAAAAAATGTGCAGCAAGGGACGACTGTTGTGCGCTTTCGGTTCTTGTATGTTTTGTGTGCGACTATGTAGAGCCCGAGTGGCGAGCACTCTGCGGTTCGTATCACGCAGGGCTCAGGATCTTCCTCCAGCATGACATTGTTCAGTCGGACCTTAATAACCCAAACTTTGATATCTCATTCATAATCCCCTTGAAATCCCGCTATAGGCTATCACTATGTAAAAAGTAGCCTACCTTGGATGCAACTGTTGTTTTGTATATCATAGTATGTAAAACAAACCATATCTGTTTCTTTGTTGTAGTATTTTATTTGGTGAAATCTATATTTGTAAGAATAGATTACTTACGTCAATAGCTCATTGAATCATGAGTTTCACTTCAGTACATGTGTCAAACATCTACTGAAGTGAAACTCACGATTCAATGAGCAATTGACATAAGTAATCTATTATTACAATAATATTTACAGCTCCGGGGCTTAACAATGAATTTAAAGAAATCTATATATTTAATTCCGTAAGCGAATCGGTCCCCACGAAATATCACGAGCAAGGAAAAAGGTAGCATGGCTTATTTCCTAACGAAAGTAAACTGCTGCAGTGTTTCTATAAGGTGTTTTAAATAAAGCTTGTGTAAACATTGTGTATTTGTATGTTTATTGATTTAAGTGTTCTCTGCATTTAGGTTAGAATGGTAATGCAGTGTTGAAATGTATCATGTTGGGGGAAGACCGGGACCAAATGTATAAAAAAAGAGTGTCTTTCATTTCAATTTGTATACATAACTAAAAAAACAGTAATTGTTGCATGGTCTCCTAGTTATGAATATATTCTTGTCCAGCTGTTACGATTCTTTGATTCCATTTAAATATGAGTAGGCCTACTCATAAGTTTAACATGGGAAACTGCAGAGCCACTACGGTGGAGCCCTTTTGATGGATCTGCACCAAACTTTACACAAACCATCCTTGAATAATGCTTAATAATGCCTGAAAGTTTCATTACAATCTGTCGAGCGGTTTCGGAGTCCATAAATGTCAAACAAACAAACACACATTGGATTTTATATAGCCTATATACAGTCTAACCTTGATATAACGAACCTTGATATAACAAATTCCTTGATATAACGATTTTTTTTAAATCCCCTAGAACTCTCCATAAGACACAATGTATATTTTACCTCTACATAACGAACAAACCATAACAACGACCTTGATTTAACAAATTTTTCGTGATTTCGGCTAAATAAGACACCTCAATATAACGAATTTATCATTGTCAGAACCTCTACATTGCGAATTTAACCTCTGCATAACGAATTGTTGCTACGTCTTTCCCTCGATATAACAAATCCCCCACCCAATTATTGTTTTGGGAAAATCTGTTTCTTTATCAAATTAAATGGAAAGGTCACGTCATCGCTTGCGCTAACATTCGTCTGCTCCGTTTTACATCTTTGTCTGCTGTCGCTGCGCGCGCTATGTTGCAACTGAGAACTGATTTTATTCACTGAGGACTGATGACGACGTAATGTTTAGTAAGCTGTGATTGAGCGATATGGGATAACTATGGTGAATTGCACAATTTTTGGATAAAGAGAAACCTAAGAAAGAATATAAAAACAAAACCAAAGAGAAAGAATAGCAACATCGTTATTTTAACATTCCTTTTACGAGTGTTTTTATTATCCTTAAGTTGGCTATGATTATACACTTTTGTAATGACTTATCTAATAATTTATTGTTTTCAATACGATTTGTTTCAACTAGCAACACCAATGCTATTGTTAATGATTATTATTATTGACATTCCTCTCCTCTGTTGTGATAAATCAGTACTGTACTGTACTGTAAGTAGCCTACTGGCCTATCGCGAGCAGTAGCTTACAAAACTTTCTACTGTTTTGTTTTGTTCTTTACATGGTTTATGACTACGCTATACAGTGTTTGGCTAGGTTTTAGGAGGGTTAGAACAAGCTGTGATTTTAAACTTACAGCTTTTAACCTGTAGCAAGGTCAATGCCATTGTCATGATTGCGCAATATTCAAGATCCCTCCCCTTTATTATGCCGGATAATTTAGGTTCTACTGTACAGTAAAGTATTGTAGCCTATGCTACTTTAATTGTATTTGAATGAGGTCAAATCCCGACCTATATTGACCGACGCTGGTTCTGAACCTCGACTTAGCGAAATTCCTGCAAACCTAACCTCTATATAACGAACCTCGTTTTAACGAAATCCTTGATATAACGAATATTCAGTTCGGTCCCTTCAGATTCGTTATACTGAGGTTGGACTGTAGATTAACTAACTAAATGCATCAAGAATACAACGTAGAGCAAAAGTGCCTAGGTTTTTAGGATTTTTTGGGACGATATCAATCTTAGCTGAAAGGAAAAGAGTCGAAACTGGTACAAGAAATACAAAACTTTACACTTTATACTCAAAACAATAGAATATACGGTATATATTTCACTGTCACTGAAGCATTTGAACCTAAGGTAATGCATTTTTCAGGTGAGGAGTCGCGCCCCAAAAAGCCCCGGGACGAGCCACCAACGCCGCCCCAGCGCGACCCCTTCGCCAAACCACCCGTGGGGCAACTCAAGAAAACAGGCGAGAGCTTCTTACAAGACGGGCCGTGCTTCGAGGTAGCTCCCAAGCTGGCCAAGTGTCGAGAGTGTAGGTGGACCCCTCACCAGAGGAGCCGCAACCAACCCAACATCTTCTGTCGCTTCTACGCCTTCAGGAGACTTAGGTAACAAACAACTAATCCATCTCTAGTTTCTCTAATTATTCATCTAATATGTCATAACTTTCTAAAAGCGTGACTTTCTGTTTCATTAAGATGATATATTTGATAATTAATGATTATTTTGATAGTAGTACATTTGACAAGCTCATTATTGACGAATTACCTGTATATCATTGCGTATCAGAGTGTCATACTATATATAATTTGTTTCATTATGGGAAAATATCTATTTGGTGAAAATTGATAACAACTTGTAGGCCTAAATATTTTAACTCAAAATCTGTAAGTAATATAATTTACTACTTAATTGGTGCGAAAGCAGTCATTTGGGATACCAATTGGTCATGCTATTCATTGAGGGAATTACTTGATAGTTGAGAAACAAAAGTAAATTAATAAGAAATAATTCACTGATAACCTTGCACTGGCAGGTACACCAAGAACGGTCAGTTGGCCATCGCAGGGTTCTCAGATCCCAACAGAGACGCTACACCAGATGACCTCAAGCTGTGGCTGCCACAACCCGAGCATCCTCCTCCTGACCTGGACATGGACATGTCCAGGTTCCTCCTACATCAGGTGGGAGACCAGTTTTGTGACTTGCTTCAACAGGAGAAAGAAGCCATCTCCATCCATATGAGTGAAGGTAACATTTCAACAAATTCCATATTGAATTCATAATATTTTTTTATCTATGTTAAACTTAACTGTCTACATAAAGGCAAATTAGTTTTAACTTTGATTAATCAATTTTCCCTTCTTGATTCTGTTTAATTTGGTTCTGTCCTCATCAAGCCATTTTCAACTGACGTTCACAAAATGGCAAAGAATAGCTCATTTAAACCAGAGGTATGAGAAAAGGCTTACATTTTGTACAGAATCTGAACTAGAGTTTGAATTAAAAGAATCTCGCAACATGATTGTGGAAGATCTCAGCAAAGAAATTAGGCTAACTATCAAACATTTTCCAAATAAGAATGTAAAATGTTATTTTATTAAGTTATGCAAATAAATGTTTGCATAATTAGACCAAACTATGTAGGGGTATTGATTGAGTCATCTTATTATGTAATTGTTCTTCATTAAAATAATTTTTATGGACACAGTGGGAGTATCACGCCTTTCTACATTCACTCAAGTTATTAAAGCTATGTTCCTGAGTTCAATCAAAATTCTTTCCTAACCTATCAATATTAAAAACTAATTTTCCAAAACATCTTTTAGGTGGTTTTAGGTTTATAGCTGAACAAAATGAGATATTCACGCTATCTTTGACTATACACAGACTGTGTATAGTCAATGACGCTATGCATCATTAACATTGCGTATGCCTCACCATATGACCACAATTTACGACAGAGTGTTTGTTGCAACTGGTTGTTAATGTAATCATATTGTTGATGACAATGCAAATTTGGCAATGAAAAATTACCATTTGGAATAGAATATAATTATGTCTCTTTTATCTCTTTTAATAAGAGCTTTTTTTGTGATATAGATAAAACAATAGCGTGGAAGCGGGTGGTGCAGGGAGTGAGGGAGATGTGTGATGTCTGTGAGACGACACTCTTCAACTTCCACTGGGCTTGTGGCAAATGTGGCTTTGTCGTCTGCATCGACTGCTACAAGGTAACTGTCACAGCTGTCATTGAAAATAACATTCACTTTTCTTTAGTTAAAGCTTAGTATTTTCTACTAGGCGACTCACTCTTACGTACATATCAGGGCATGTGACACCTGGTAGTAAATTTGTTAGTTAAAACCTAAAAAATTTGTTTACGATATATTGTGTAAACCTGTTTGTTTATTGTGTGAATGTTTACAGAGCCGCAAGCAAGGTACAGTTAAGATGTGGGGAGAGCCAGGTCGGGACCGAGACGACAAGTCATGGCTACTGTGCACCAACAGACAAGGCCACGAGCAGGAAAAGCTGATGTTGACACAGATCATCGCAGGAGACTCCCTACACCAGCTGGGACGCAAGGCTCATGAGGCCAGAGCTACGTGGGGCATCCCCATGCATTGCGGCTGTCCTCTGGCCTCCGCATCCACTGTCAAACCCACCAATGGCTTCTGCAAGGTAAACCATTTCTCCTGATTATGATACTCTTTGGAAATTAATTTAAGCTTTTCTGTTTTTTTCCAAATTTAGTTGTTGTTTAGGTTTGTACCTAAAGCGATTGCAGAGGAGGATCACTATCTTACCATGATCGTAAGAGACAGTCCAAATTTTAGCTTCAATTAAAAAGTTTAATCTTGGTAATGTTCTTAATGTAAAAAAGAGCACATTTTACGGAGTTTCTTAACAAAGTATTGCCACCTAGCATAACATTTTCAGCTTGAAATTTTAATCCTATTGTACTATTTTGTGTTGTAGCCTTTATTACTTATTTTTAGGACATTCTCAAAAGCATACAACTGAAGACTGAACCTGTAAATGGGCAAATTAAAACTGAAAAAGAGGAAAAGACTGATGAAAAAAATTCACCTCTGAATTGGCTAGCGGATGTTGCTCTCTCAAATGAAGATAAAAAGAACTCGTGTGGGGTATGTATATGCTTTCTACTCACCATCATAGAACATATATATTGCAACTATCTACAAATATATTAACAAAAACTTAATGAACTTTTAATATTTTGCTTAATGTTATTTTACTGCTCATTATCTAAATATAGAATTTAAACACTTTTAGTGGTTTAAAATATTGGATATTGGTTGATGTAATATTCCTTGTTCACTTTTACCAGGCCTACCAAAAACACAAAATATCAATGAACTATTGAATGTAATAAAAAGTATCACATTACAGCATCATGAATTACAGGGTGTCTACCAACCGGGAAATCCGGGAAAACCGGGAATTGTACTTAAATTTTTACTGGCCATGAAATGTATGGGAATTGTCCTTAAATGCCAGACTATGTCCTTAAATTTTTAATGGGCCATAATTTTATTGATCGCTAGTTGGTTAGGAGCACATAAAAGGTTTATTAGATGTTTGTTTACATTTTCATAATTTATTACTAGAGTAATTATGCAATAAAAATTCCATTAACAATCTCAAACCCATTAATATTTTATCACGACAATCAAGTGTCAAGTCAAGTACTTCCAAGAACTGTTGACTCAGTAGCTAGCTCATAAAAGTTGTATCACTTTTATTCCTTTACAACTTCTTTTTTTATTACTAGAGTAATTATTAATAGATCCCAAACCTATTTTATCGTGAAAATAATAGCTTTATAATGGCTGTTAAATTTCACTTCTTACTTGTACTTTCGGCTTGAAGATTCAATTTGCCGCGGCCAGTGCCTAGTGCCATAAAACTGTTTATGGTTTCAAATTAAACATGTAAATAATCTACAGTCTTATTTTGTAAGTTAACCCCTTTTTTATGGACATTTTATCATTCAATTGACAAAACCACAAGCATTGTTGTTTGCATTCATGTTTTATCACTATGTAGGCCTGCTTGGTTTCAAATTATGTCATTGCATTTTCTGTATCTTTGTCTTATATTGTTGGCTATTCAGGTTTCAATGTTTTTTGTTTCCCATATATTTATTTATTGAGTTGTATGCTTTAAGCAATCTAAATCTTATGAAATAGTATGATGATAGTGACTTTGCTGCTATTATAACCTCATTGTTTGTTACTCAGTTTTGTCGCTATCGCAGGAGACAATGATTGCGTTTCTCTGTTACACTATAAAAGCTTTACCTAAAGTATAGGTAGGCCTATGTTTGTTTACTTTCAATAAATTTCTATTTTGAAATTTTTAACTCTTATCTATTATTATTTACTTGTCTCTCTGGTACAACTACAGTGAATAACAAGATTAATACAGTTTGACAAATCTGGAAAATTATTCGGTAGGCCTAATAACACCGACAAAGGTTACGGCAAAGTGTCCTTAAATGTACGGGAATTGTCCATGAATTTTTTTATCCAGAATGTAGTAGACACCCTGAATTAGTAAATTTAGACATTACTGTATGTGACATGCTTTTAAAAATGAAATTAATAATTCAATTTGAATGATTTTAAGTTTGAAAATTTCTTTAATGTCGATAGTTTTTAATTTCTTATTTCATTGTTTGATTTTAGGAAAGTGCGTGCAGTAGTGACTCGGATGATGACAAGGATGGGAACTACTCTACATTGAGAGAACTGCTGATCAGACCAGGGCCCAAGAGCAACGGCAGTCGAGCGGCATCACCCACCTCCAACAACACTCTTCCTACGACCAACAACAGCAGTAAGAGCAAGAAGTCACATGTGGATACGCTCAACGAGGTGATATCCAGCGTAATAGAGCACTCTGTCAACAAAACCGAAGAGGACACAGCCACGGACAAGGTGGCGACTCCGCAACTGAAGCACTTTGTGAGACGCTACACCTGGCCGCAGAAGTCGTGGAGAGACCCAGTGCCTATCCGCATCATGACACTGACTGAGAGTGAGGACTTGTACCCTGACCTGCCTCATTCATGGCTGTGTGAGGGACGTCTACTGAGACTACTCGACCCCAACCACAGTGGCAACTACAGGATATTCCAGGTATAACACACACTTGGCTTATTAAAACATTAGCATTGATTTGCAAAAGTAAAAACTTCAATATAATTCTTTTTAACCCTCCATCGGTGACACCACGAAGTTTTCCTCTGGGCGCATTTGTTTTTATAGAAAAATATGTGATATCACCAGCGTGCAGCTTTAGGAGTAACAGTATCTCACGTGCATCTTTCTAGGCTAGGAACTGAATGAATATTATTTTATCTCACACCTCCCCCACTAAACCCCTATCAACCAGTCGAAGACCGAAGAGTTTCATAGCACGGAGCTCGGCTTTGTGAGTCACCAATGGTATTTTGTTTTTGTTTGATTTATTTTTATAAATATTTAAAGTACAATTTTATTGATTATACATTGTGGTTTTAATACGGTTTTGTATTTATTAAATGTAAAAAAATATTTTTGTCTAATGTTTCAACACATGGAAAAAACCTCAAAAACTGTGTGTCACCGATTGAGTTGTTTTTGTTGTTATATTATAAAATATGAAACCTATATATTTTATAATTATGTAAAGAGGTTATATTGATTTCATCTACAGTCTTATTGATTATACGCATCTTTGTAAGGTTTTATATTAATGTAGGTACCCTATAACAAACTTTGTGTGTCTAATGTTTCAACACCGCGTTCATCAAGTTTTGAAAGCAAAGACACCCACAAAAGGTTAATTGGTGATAGTGTTCTTTATGATTGCAAAATTTAAATTTTTTTTAGTGAATTTTTGTAGTTTAAGTGATTTTTTATGTATGACATTGATATTAGTTTTTAGTTTTCTGTCTGATTTACAATTTTTTACTGCCATTTAAATTATTATTGTGTTGAATCTTATAGGCTCTAATCAATAGGCTATCCCCCGGACATTTGATTTTTGTGTAGCATTGAGACTTCTTAGCCTAGGTATTCATGTTTTGACGTCAACTATGCATGTAATTTGTTGTAATAAAATCTTGATTCTTGATTTGTAAATGATCCTGTTTTTCTAGGATCAGTGGAAGAGAGGTCAGCCTGTTATTGTGAGTGATGTATTGAAGCATCTGGATAAGGAGCTATGGCAACCGGACTCGTTCATCAGGGATTTTGGTGAGACCAAGAACGACCTGATCAACTGTATGACGGGCAACGTTGTGCCCAACCAGTTCATGCGCAAGTTTTGGGAAGGCTTTGATCATGTCAACAAGAGGCTCAAGGATGACAAAGGAAATGCTATGTTGCTCAAACTAAAGGATTGGCCGCCTGGTGAAGACTTTGCAGAAATGTTACCATCAAGGTTAGTACCCCATCAAGTAACTATTATTTCATTTTGTTTGAGTTAAGCCTCTTAATCACACAAACTATTATTTCATTTCATTTGATTCATAGCCTGGCGCTAGCTAATGGTTTGTAATTAAGTTTACATTTTTGCTACTTTTAAAAGGACTTCAAAATGGTTTGGGAAAATGTCAGTGAATCTTTTCTCTGAGCGTATTGTTATACACATACACATTAAACTAAACAGTAATTTTGACATTAATTAAAAGATTAATGCTGCGTATTGTATAAAGCACCTCTAATTGAGTTGCCTGTTGTAGGTTCACTGATCTGATGAAAGCTCTGCCAATGGGAGAATATACGCAGAGGACCGGTCGACTAAACCTCGCGTCAAGGTTGCCAGACTGTTTTGTGAGACCAGATCTGGGCCCCAAGATGTACACAGCTTACGGCTCAGCTCTGCATCCTACTAAGGGTACCACCAACCTTCATCTTGACATCTCTGACGCTGTCAATGTCATGGTCTATGTTGGCATACCCAAGGATGCTGAATCTGACGACCATATAAAGGGTGAGAATCACAAGCATTGCACACCAAGTCACAACAGTAGACTCTTAGTGGGATACTTACTATGCCAGACTCTTGTTTGAACTATTAAAGGATCCAACCATGAGACGTTCAATTGAAAATAATTGGTACATTTCAAACCCACTCATCATGAATGCATTACAGTAGGCTTAGGACATTTAAGGCTTAAGGTCATGTACTGTACCACATAAAAAAGAAACCAGTAATAAGTTACCTGCGTCTATTGCTTTAATGTGAGAGCTTGTATGGGATAATTATTTACCACATCATGGAGCAATTTGTTTGGAACACACAACAAACCTTAATGTCAACAACTTCTCTACACATAACAGTCAATACAAGATTCTACTTTACAGTCCTTGCAGATGCTTTTGTCATAGCACAGCACCTGGTAGTTTTTGTTAGACAGAAATTACATCGGCCATTATTCCAATTTTTTTTACGTTGCATTGTAATAGTCCTTAAGCCAGCAAATTCAAACTCTTTATTCACTCATATATCAATTATATATGCAATTAGTATACACTCAGCAGTAGTTATCACTATCGAGTAGAAACTTTCACATTGAATGATAATGGTCATCACAATATTCTCGGGGTAAACAATGTTGACCGCACTAATAATATATTCTTATAATATAACACAAATTTGATTTTAAAAGAAAAGTAACTTATCATTGAGCCTAAACTGTATTGACATAACATAACATTGATGACCAATGTCAATGACTGTGTGGGTAAAATGTCTCCTGACATTACACATCGCTGGCTAAGATACAGTATAATATCTACAATTACAAACTGGCACTTCAATTAAGATGATAAGATCATTCAGTAACGGAGTTGACTGGAAGATATTCAGAGGAGAAAGCACTGTGATGCCCTTTCGAGTACTTTATCTCATACTAAACCCGCGGGCTTTGCCCCGTTTAACTTCACAAGTGAGCTCGTTCGCATGGCTCAATCACGTCCTGGTTGAAGTTCGTTCGCTACGCTCACTCGCCTTTGGGCTGGAGCTCGTTCGCTCCTCTCACTTGCCTTCATCAGGTTAGCTCGTTCGCTACGCTAACTCACTTCCAGGTTGAAGTTCGTTCGCTACGCTCACTCACCTTTTGGTTGCAAATTGGCTGTAGTCTTAAATTAAAAAAAATAATAATAATGCTGCACCCTGTAACTTTAATGCTATTGAACATCATAGAACAGAACCAACTTGTTTAATTGAAACAGCTGTTAAGAAATTCCTTTTAAATATGAAAAATCATAAGGTTAACATGGGAAACTCCAGAGCCACTGGGGCGGAGCCTGAAACCCCGATCAGAATAAAAACTACTTAGTTTTCCTATTTAATGCCCAAAGAATTGGTGTACCGAATTTCAGCCTCCTAGGTAAATGGGAAGTGGGAGAATTAGTGATGAGTGAGTGAGTGAGTGAGTGAGTCAGTCAGTCAGTGAGGGCTTTGCCTTTAATATATTTAGATTTAAATCATGCCTAGAGAAAAATTTTTCCCGTATGGGCATTCATGGGTTAAAAAAAGAGGTTCTCGGTGTAGGTTGCTTCTTTTTGATTTTTGTCTTTGTTGAAACTAATTAAATCTATATATTAATAGGCAAGCATATTTCTATAAAACCTTTTTTCTCAGCTCGTGTGCATCGTAGGTAAAGTGTACGCATACTGTTAGAAAGATTTTTTCCAATAGGTATGCAGAATCCCCTTATAAATTAAAATAGGCTCAAAAATAAGCACAAAAAATGAGTTTTAAATTTTAAATAATTAACATGGGACTTGAGGTTGCCATGCTGGTGGCAATATAACAACGAAATATAATCAGAAAATCAAAACAAATGGAAGAAATTCCAATCACGTGTTTTATTTACAGCATGGGGTCAATATAGAGAAGTCTCTGTATATTATATTATTTTTGTTACAGTTTTCGACCACTAGACAATCACTTGTGCTATTTATAATCAACTAATATAAATTTTTCAGAAGCCTACCGAGCTATCGACGAAGCGTGTTCAGATCTGTTGACACGGCGGCGAGTCAGAGATAAGTCGGAGCTCCCAGGAGCTCTGTGGCACATCTACAGTGCAAGAGATGCTGACAAAATCAGGGACTTGCTAAACAAAGTAGCAATAGAGAGAGGTGCAAGACTAGAGCCCCATCACGACCCCATCCACGACCAGAGTTGGTACCTGGACGCTCCACTGCGGGAACGACTGTACAAGGAATATGCTGTGGAGGGCTACGCGATAGTGCAATGCCTAGGGGATGCCATCTTCATACCTGCTGGTGCCCCTCATCAGGTAATGCAAAACATAACATCACTTTGATATGAACTTTTGTTATAAAATGCTTTTGCATTAAACTACTCACTATTTAGAAGCCACACTGATTTAACAACGTCATTTATTAGGCCTCAAACATCACTCCGTGCTTTGATGTGGCCTATATAATCTTGTTAAAGCCTGATTAGGTTTAAAAAATTATAATTATATAACAATTACGTTTAAGTTGATCATGTTATTTTCACACCGATTACATAAGGTCGTTAACATATTGTCGGGAATCAACTTCACAGTAGCAATAATAAGAACTGAGAGACAAATTTAAATTAAAGATGTTTTCATATTATTTAAGTCCTTATGTAGGATGTTCCACTGTACATTAAAAACACAAAACTTAATGACCTTATATATTTTTATCAGGCAGATCTTTAATAGTTCTGCATTTTTTAGGTGCGAAACCTGCATAACTGTATTAAAGTGGCCGAAGACTTTGTGTCGCCAGAGAACGTCTCCCATTGCTTCCATCTCACCCAAGAGTTCCGTGAGCTCTCTGACACACACACCAACCATGAAGACAAACTCCAGATCAAGAACATTATTTACCACGCAGTGAAGGACTCTTTGTCTATACTCACGACCAAGGAAAACTACAAGCAGGAGATGAAAATTGAAAATGCCGATTCGTGATTACAACTGCCACTCTACTCATAACTTTTTAAAGTATTTCTTGTGATAGGTGCTGTTTATTTTAGTTTCATGTGCTATGAACGTTTTAATTGTTATAGCGCTTTAAAGAAGTTTTAAAAGTTATTTTTTAAGTGTTTATGTATATAGTTTTGTTTATTCTTTCTCAAAATGCGATCGGTACATAGTGTAAATATATTAAATAATCGTATTATAAGCGACACTAAGTGACGCGAGTTTACTGTAAATAATACATTATTTAATTTTCTGAGTCTTGAGGCGAGTAGATAAAAGCCGATGGACTTCGGGTCTGATGTATATATTGTATCTATAAATAAGTAAATATGTGCAAAACACGTCGTAACAGATCCCGCCCAACTTTGCACTTTTTCTACAACAATTTAGGTATGTTAAGTGTTACGGCTGTTCTAGATCTCACTAAATGTTACAGAGAAATGTGCATTTGTAGTCATGTCAAAATATTCCATGGCATCGTCGATTACGAAATAATTTTTCCCGATGGTACTTAAGTAACTGTTGTAATTGAACTCGTACTTGTTACCACTCATTACCATTGTCTCTGTGTATGAATAATGTGAGTTCAACTTCCATTATTTTTTTCTCTATTGTAAAGAATGGGTGGGCCAGAAGAGTCCATATTTTGTTAACTCACTCCATTGTTTGGTTTTTCTTTATAACAAAATTAATCATGTCCCGATTCATAACTTTATGGTTAAATGGAAACTGTTTTAGTTCTCAATGAAAATAAAGTGCTATTTAAATAAAGTGCCAATGTGGATAATGTGTATATTGTACATCATTTCCTTACCTCATTTTCATTTTACTAGTTACCTACTTTAAATCATACATTGAGTTTATATTGTATTTTTTTTAGCAGAACGAGTGAAGCTCATACTGCCAAAGAAGTTTTATTCTAACAATTATTTTTTTTCTTTTTACATTCACCTGCACTATTGCAACAAAGATTGAGTGAGACTATGATTTTTAATCTACTGTATGTATGGAAATTACTCTTTTAAGTACGGTAGACCTACAATTTGTATGGCAAGAACAAGGAAGAGGATGGTTTGCATTTACATTTACAAGTTATTTACTCAAATAAAAATTAGCAATATGCTACCTTATTTTGAGAAATTTATTCAAATTAACAAAATATAGGAATTTTACTAGCCTTTGAATAATATGCTGCTTTAAAATAGAAATTATTAAGTTGTCCTCAAGCTCTTACTTAGAACTGAAGTGGAAGGAAACAAACAACTAAAATTTATGCTACCTTTGCCTTCTGTGCAAAAGACTGTATTTTGCACCTTTACCAAAATATGAAAATTTAAAGCAAGTTTAAAATACAAATTCGAGTTGTCAATTTTTTTATGATCATTACTTTGGTGTCTGCGGATTTCAATTAAAGAACCGACCTGTGTTCTAATTGGTTTATTGAGTTTTAAAGTATGAATAAATAGGCCTAAGTACATAAATGAAGATTTGTCCATCAAGACTAAACTACTATATACTTAAACTCAATTATAAATTATATACTAAATGATTTTCCATTACTTCTTAAGAGTAATGGTTCTTTAGTGAGTTGGTGGCTCAGACGGTAGTGTCGCGGACTTCAGGCCCATGGCAGCGATGTCGTGGGTTCGGATCCTGGTCACTGGCGATAACATACAGTTCACCTTTGTACTGTACCGGCTCACTCCTTACTTTGCTGAAAACGATCCACGCACGGGCGCTTAGTCTATGTGAATGGGCAAATGCAAGGTTAAAAGACGCCGCCAACCTCTTTAAAAAAAAAAATATTAGAACTTCAAAAAATGGAAAGAAAGACTCTGTTTGAGTCTTGTTCTTAGTTTATTGTCATAGTTCCAATGGATCCTTTAAGAGGTAATAGAATTACATTAAATTTAGTATATCTTAAGAGTCCATTGGAACTTCAAAAAATGGAAAGAAAGATGAGCAAGACTATTAGAGTCCATTATTGGAACTTCAAGAGCTTTTGAATCTTGGAATTTCAGAATTACTCTGTTGAATTTTAATAAGAAAGTATTAAAGTTGTAGTAGTAGTATGTGTTATATTTCTCTTATTTAAATTAAATTAAATACAAAAAAATATATAAAAAAACTAAACTTAAAAAAGAAATTAAATAAAAAACGTGAAATATTCATTAAATAACCACAGAGGTAGAAAATCTTTCTCTTTAAGCTTATTCAGAAGAAGAAAAGAGAAAACCCGATTTTTACCTCAATAAACCCCCCATAAATCCCGTTCCTATGGTCCGATACAACCCTGTGAGTTTATTTTCAGAAGAAAAAAGAGAAACCCCATTTTTACCCAATAAAACTCCATATAAACCCCATTCCCATGGTCCGATTGCTGATCATGTTGGTTCGCGAACTCGTTGGAAGTAAATGAAGGTTTACTTTTTACTTCCAAATTTCATCAGTCAGATGATTTTTGCTCGAGTTATTGTGCTAACAGACACATATTAATACAGTGGAGTCCCAATGATCCAAACTTCTGTAATCTGTAAGTCTGCTTAATCTAAAACCGAAAAAAAAATTGTTCCTTTTTACGCAGTACGTGCTGTCTATTATCGGGGAAAGTCTAAACCAGCACCGTCGCGTGATGACATTAATGCAGTTTATTGTAGACACAAAAAGTGATGAAACAGTACGTACATGCTGTCTGTCACCCATTGGGAAAAGCGAAAACTGCTAGCACTGTCGTGCAACGACAGTTGGTTATACCTTGTTGAAGTATTCTGTAGCGACCGGGCGAAATAGTCTTGTTGTTTAGTGTATTTTAGTAAACAATTCACAATTTTTTTTGTAAATATTTTTCATTTTCGTACAGAGTTCCAATCCTGCCAAATCAATGGATGTTATCTAAGTGATAATGCCGCAACCCCTAGGTCTAGCCTAAAGTCGTGTGAAAAACAATCCCGGGCTCAACCTAGCGTCCTAACAAAAATAAATAAATAAAACAAAAACTTTTAATCTGAAATATTTAGTAATCCGAAATGGGTCCGGTCCCAACCATTTCGGACTATCTTTACTGTACATATTATGAAGTATAAAATTAATTTGAATAACTAGAGGTTGAACATATTTCTCTTTGAGCTTCTTTTTAGAGTTTAGTCAGACAAATTCCTTGATTGGGAATTTTGATTGTGAAAATGATTAACTTTTATCTTGGGATAACTTATTCTAGATGGTGTTGTAGTTGTTTTTTCCGTATTCTTTGACATGGAAGTATTAGCTTAGTTAAATGGCAGAGGAACTGAATTTGTATCTTTGATGGATAAAGGAATAGGATTGTTCGGTTTGGTTGTATTACCTTTGTAAGGCAAAAGGTGTTGTGGATTCCTTCTCAAAGTAGTGTTTCCTGTCTTAACCCAGTAGGACCTTAGTTCTTTACCTAAGCTGGTAATAATTGATGTTCAACCTCTAGCCCAGTCAATAAAGGTTTTATGTCGGAACAAATTAGTGACAAGCAAAACTATATACCACTGGATAGTACACATAGAGCTGTACATTTTCCCAAAAGTCCCCTAAAATCCCCCCTGTGCTTTCCCCCCCACCCACCTCAAAGTCAGGAATTGCAAGGTTTTACTAAATCACGCTTAAGTCCAGTATGGTTTATCCGATTGTAATCATTTATAGCTCGTTATATTCCTAAATAAATTGTCTAAAATAAGTTCCTTTACACTCTTGCGTTAAATCCAATACTTTCTTCAAAATTTAATGATAAACTCTAAAAATAAGCAAATCTTCAAGCCGATATTTCAGTTTTTCTGCCGTAGTTTTTTAAATAGTAGAAAAAATTAAAAACGCCTTCTCTAAAAGTTGTAGAGAATGTCTTTCTGAACATTTTCATATAAATAAGTATAGGATTGTGATATAAATATGGGCAGGGGATTGGTAAAACGAGACGAGAGTCTGGGCCTCGACGACGCAGCAGCCGTCGTGCCGCGCGCCGCCTTATAACTGCGAGTGTAGTTATCCACCCAGGGTAAGGTACAGTACAGAATGAGTTTGTTATGCAAAATCAATTATCTATTAATGAGGTTTTAACTAATACTGTCAGAGATAACATTGATTGGTTGGCTTTAAACCTAAACTTGTATTATTTCTTGATATTAAGCAATACATAATATGAAGGCTATTCATTGTTAGTTTATTATTTAATTTTAAAGTAATACTTATAAATAATGAGTATATTCTTTGTGCCAGTTTTGGTTCGGGGGAGTCTTGCTCCTAACCCTTTTAAAGGTATTTCCATTATCCACCACCAAATAGTGTTGAGTGGGAACACAGCAGATAATGTGAAGTCGCCACAGACATTTAATTGAGCAGTTAACTGCGAAAAACCAGCCACTATAACATTTTTCAGTCCAACGCGGGATTGTTTGTTTGCGTATGATTTTATACTTATAGTCTCGGCATTGAAAGTTCCTGTGGCAATCCTATCAACTTTTGTTTGTATTTCAACGCTAGATTTTGGTGTGATACATTGAATACCTCCCATAGCGTGGAATGTATCAGGCCATCTAGTGTTCTCACGTTAACATCGGCGTTATCAAAAACATGTTGTATAAAGGCTTCTTCCTTTATTACAGGCGATCCCGCAGTGATTAGTGAGTTTAAGTAAATAGACGTTTCATTATTGGACGCACAAATTCCCATCGAGTTAAGCATGTTTATTAAATGCTTGGATCCAAATAACCTATGAAGTGTTAGACTGAGCCCCAATTGGACTGAGGACAGAAAAGATCGTGGCCTGACAGCTGAAATGATCGCATGATTAATAACGATACGTTTCCTTTTTATACTACTTTGTTCTGATGACGTTCTTTTCTTCGTAAGCCTACTTGTGAAGAGTGCCAATGACTCGGGAATCAAACTTTCATCTCCGCTTTTGATTTCATCGACGCCTGGATAAGACTGAGTGTCATAAGTCATCTTTTGAACATCTTCCTTTATTATATCAGCTGCTTTTGTCACAATTCTCAATTTTTCAGCCTGCTTGTCAATCTCTCGATCTCTGTACCAGCTATCTATAATTTTATTAACTGTGTCAGACAAGCAGATTAATTTTTTTTTTGCCTGACACGCTAGACACTAAGATATGATCTTCAAAATGTTTTACAAGACGCTCTTTTAGCCATCTGTCTGAATACATATCCGTTGCTCCCGTGATTCTGCTCAGTAAGTCTTGAAGCTCCTTAATAGTGAACTAGTCACACAGCTTGGCAAAATGATCTTCGGCAGTAGCTGGCCTTCCAACAGAGCCCTCTCCAGAAGAAGAAAACGATGTGAAGCACTTTTTGTGATACCGAGCCTCAGGTGCAACAAGGTCACTCACGTTCAACAAACGAGCTCTTACTCTTTCTCCCCAATCATCACTCCGTTCGTCACATTTCTGAAGGAAATTCTCCCTTATTTCTAGTGTTGCCACAACTCGAATTTCTTTCCTTCGGTCCAGAGGAGTTTTGGAAGTGACTAACGCCGAATCTCCACAGATAAAACATTTAGTTTTGAAGTCAAATACTTCCCCCACGCTTCGCCGTGTTGATGTTGAAGGGATACATAGTTCTGACACCCCCGATGACAAAACCGCCGCGGCAATGCTTGAAGGTCTGGTGTAATCCTGCCTACACTTTTTATGAACTTTAATGGTCTGTTTACCTTCAATTTTTTCGTGAACACCATCTTTTCGCTTTAAGCTACTCTGTACAATAGTGTTAAGTCCTTTTGAGACTTGTACAATATCACTGTCCAGGCTGTTGTCACACGACGGACAAAGGGCGTCTGCATCATACATGTCGAACAAAAGTGAATTACCGTCCAGACATGAATGAGTGAATCTAAAAACTGCAAAAAATTAATCCTTAAATGAAAAAATGTAGATTGTCATAGCTAGGACGTTAGATATTCTGGTTTTTATATACATTTTAAAGCTATTCGTTACCAAACTGTTATAACCAACCTTCTAGTTAGAATATCCAATAACTAAATAGTGTCCAATCACAATCACTTGTCAAAATTAGTTGTACATCACGCCACTGTACTACTTCTTGTACTGTCATACGCCTTTCACTGAATTACTTCTTGAAACCACACATTAAAGTTGAAAACTTTTTAGCAAATCGAGACTTTATCAGCACCGTTCACAATAACTCTCCACCTAAGACTGACGAGACACAGAACTTCAACAGCTGTTTTAGGTGCTAAAAGCGAGCCACCGAACTTGATTGACACGTCATAAATGGGGTAAGTGTCAGTATAAACTATTAAACTCTTAAACTATAATTTAATAAGAGTTCATATAATTAATTACAGGCATACTGGCATTTGTAATTAATTGAAACTAGGGCGATATTTAAAGTTTCATTAAAGATTATAAGAAATTAGATATATAAATAAATAATATAGGTATAACACTAAAGTCTACTATGTAGTCTCTGACAGTATTAGTTCAAACCTCATTAATAGATAATTGATTTTGCATAACAAACTCATTCTGTACTGTACCTTACCCTGGGTGGATAACTACACTCGCAGTTATAAGGCGGCGCGCGGCACGACGGCTGCTGCGTCGTCGAGGCCCAGACTCTCGTCTCGTTTTACCAATCCCCTGCCCATATTTATATCACAATCCTATACTTATTTATATGAAAATGTTCAGAAAGACATTCTCTACAACTTTTAGAGAAGGCGTTTTTCATTTTTTCTACTATTTAAAAAACTACGGCAGAAAAACTGAAATATCGGCTTGAAGATTTGCTTATTTTTAGAGTTTATCATTAAATTTTGAAGAAAGTATTGGATTTAACGCAAGAGTGTAAAGGAACTTATTTTAGACAATTTATTTAGGAATATAACGAGCTATAAATGATTACAATCGGATAAACCATACTGGACTTAAGCGTGATTTAGTAAAACCTTGCAATTCCTGACTTTGAGGGGGGGTGGGGGGGAAAGCACCGGGGGGATTTTAGGGGACTTTTGGGAAAATGTACATCTCTATGTGCACTATCCAGTGGTATATAGTTTTGCTTGTCACTAATTTGTTCCGACGTTGGTCGTTTTTGTGTCTTTATTGACTGGGCTACTCTACATGTATGGTTATTTAACTAATATTTTTATTTATTAATGCTATGTCAGCCAAGTTTAGCTTTTTTTCTGTCTTTATAGTTCTTCAGATCTACAGGATAGTGTTTATAGCTGTGTTTAATTTTAATTCGGGTTCAAGTTGAAAACGATCACTTGGTGATTCGTCCTGCATACCAATAATCAACACCATCAGAAACATCGACTCTTCCAAATTGACCCCAATCACAGTTTTTGCATGATTGTGAAGGTCTGATAATGTTCTCAATTAGCATGGAATCCAGTTTAAGTTTTAGATACCTAGCACGTTTAAAAATTAGGTTCTTTTTTGGAAGGAAATTATTGTGGAATGGAAGTCCCAACACTGCATCCGGTCAGGTCAGGTGCAGTCCGGTAAAATTATTTCGGATGACAGCGATAGGCTTCCGGCAAGCTTCCGGTGCCGGAGAGCTCACGTATGCGCAGACAACTTCTACTCACTCGTGACAGTGACAGTAGCAGCAGACGTGGTTTTGTGGTGTTTGTTGTCCTCAATCAACTTTTTGTTGTCCTCAATCAAACGGAACAAGGTATGAAATTCTCCCTCATTTATTCTACTCGCGTTTATACTGTGCACCCACAACCTCTTTATCGCTGACATGCTCTTCCTCTTCCGAAGCAAGAGCTGCTGCAACTACGAAGATCTCTTCACTGTCACTGTCACTCATTGCTTTAGGGAAATTTTGTTAAAACTGACTAATTTTATGTTGGTTTAACCCATTGGCGCCGACTTACGAGCGTTACTCGTACAGCCGCTGCAGGCCCGGCGGCCGACTTACGAGTGCCGCTCGTGTCACCGCTAGGCAGCGCCATTAGTTATTTATTTATTATTATTTTTCGCCCTTTTTGTTTCTTTTTACTATTATAATGTTTATAAATATCTTGCTTCTTGATTTGCGTATTTACTCATTTATTTTAGCGAATAACAAACAATTTTGTGTTGCCATGGAAACCACATTTCACCAAAAATCAGCTGCGGTAAGGTAAACAAACAATTTTAAATAAATGTTATTACTTATAAAAGTACACAACTTTTAATTTTTCTACGTAGGGAATCGATTGAACTTTATAATAGTAGTGTTATTTGGTGTCTGGATTAATCTTGGAATTTTTATATCAAGTTTACTTTCAAAATATTGTTTTAAAAATTTTAATTTTTATAATCTTTATATACAGGGTGGCTGGTCATCAGTGTGACAAAATTTTTTTGCCGTAAGTACAAAGTAAATGCAGTGTAATGATGCATATAAAAGGTTCCAAGTCCAAAAATTAGCTTCTCAAAGAATTATTTTATGTTTTTAAAAAATAACTATGTTTTCAAACTTAGTACAGCTATTTCGCAATTACCTGTAAATGGATTTGAGAAGACAATGCCATTTTTGTGTTCTACATTAAATTTTGAATAAGAATAATAGAAAATGACGGAGGATCAGTTGTAAAAACTCCATTGTAAATAGATTCAAAGATAAAAATTAAGATGTTTGATAAAAGTTTAAAAAACATTGGTCTATTGTATTTGTTCACACCCTGTATACAAGAAAGTGTCCGAATATGTTAAAAACTGTGCCATTTTATAAGCTTTCTAACCATATGCTATACTATTGAGGTTTAGATCTTCTGTTGTTTGTTTTAGTGGTTTGAATACCAGAAAACAGGGAAATTTTTTACTGTTTTTACTGTTCAAGCTGAAACAAAATTACAACTTCTGCTTAATACATGCCGTATTTCCATGTTTTAAATGTTAAAGACACCCTGTTTACTGGTATTCAAACCACTAAAACAAACAACAGAATATCTAAACCTCAATAGTGTAGCATATGGTTGGAAAGCTTATAAAATGGCGCAGTTTTTAACATATTCAGACACTTTCTTGTATACAGGGTGTGAACAAATACAATAGACCAATGTTTTTTAAACTTTTATCAAACATCTTAATTTGTTTGTTTGTATCTATTGGAGTTTTTACAACTGATCCTCCGTCATTTTCTATTATTCTTATTCAAAATTTAATGTAGAACACAAAAATGACATTGTCTACTCAAATCCATTTACAGGTAATTGAGAAATAGCTGTATTAAGTTTGAAAACATAGTTATTTTTTAAAAACATAAAACAATTCTTTGGGAAGCTAATGTTTGGACCTTTTATATGCATCATTACACTGCATTTACTTTGTACTTACGCCAAAAAAATTTTGTCACACTGATGACCAGCCACTCTGTATATATTTTTTTTAGTTTAGAACTTTGACTATCCAATTACCACTTTTCTGTAGACAATTTTACTGTGAACAAAATGGTGAAAGAATTATTAATTTATTACCTAAGGTTTTCTTTCTATAGCAGTTAGAGTAAAAGTCTACAAATTTGGTAAAATTAATTGCCGCCAGAGGGTGCTGCAGCTAGCGTATTAATTCCTTCCCCAATGGGTTAACACTTCTTCAACTCACAGTACCGCTGTCCTCGCACAGACTGGTTGCCGGAACTGGAACGCCTGGCAAAAAACACCGGATCAAAATTAACCGGACCGGACGCAGTGTGTGACGAGCCTTAGGCTACCTTTAGTTTTTGTATATAAATTTTAAATACAAAGAAACTAAATGTCAAATATCTCACAATCAAAGCGTTTTTGGAAACAAATTTATTACAGCTTTTTATTTTATTTTGACCAAAAATAAGAATGACATTGACTTCTAGGATCAACATGTAACTTTTGCTTTTTATGATAGTGGCACTTTTAAGTTGCTGGCTCTTATACTTCAATGTAATTAATTAACTTCACCACAGCAAATCTACCCACCTATGGCAGAGGGGAAGGGTAAGCACCAATGGGGGTGTTCTGGAAGTGGACCTTGGTCAGAGTTATATCTCCGAGGAACTGGATTGTGTTGATAGACTTGAAAGATACTCTGTGTCTGTAGGAGATGTAGTGCTGACCGTCCACAGCCACCTGACAGCAACACACCAATGGAAGATGAGTGAAGAATGAGTATTAAAGCCCAACAATCCAAGGGCAGCTGTGTCCAGTTTAACGTCTAAATGATATATGTATAGCTTTTCTCAGGATTATATTGACCATTTAGCTACTCGCTTATAAACAAGGCTACAGCATATGGAACCATGCTATGGAACCTCTAAGAATTATGTTGAAACTGGAAATAATAAGTTAATCTACCTTCTACATCTATATATTTAATACACAGTTGTAACACTGTTTTCTCAGTAATTACTGAACCGATCTACAAGATTTATGTCTCAAATTAAAGGGTATAGTGTGTAAATTTGCCGAACTTCCTTAGAACTTAGGTTTTTTCTAAGGGCTACGACCTACAGCCCTTTAAAGGTCGAGTCAATACAATTCTTATTGAAGAATATAATACACAGTTTATAAATTATTCGTCAGCTGTTTAATGTTTGTCAGACATTTGTTATTATTTTTGTAACCTCACTTTCAGTATGCAATTTTAAACTTGGAGTTTCTGTTTATAAACACACGATTTTGATCAAGGAAAGTGTATTCGTTAACTTATGTTTTAAATGTTTTAGTTTTCCTTCAAAGTGATCTGAAGGAAAGTGGTAATTGAGATTAAGTTTGAGTATGAAATGTGAAATAATACCCATAGTAGGGAACGGAAACTTATTGTTTTGATCAATATAATTTATTCTCTACGGCCACCAGAATAATCATGGGAAAATCCGCTTGCAAGTTGTACGTAAGCTAATGAGTGGGAAACATACAAACATTTTATAGTAGGTGACGAATCTTACTCAAGATCAGTGTTAGACGTTCAGTGGTACCAAACTTTACCTTCTCGAGATGGCGAGTACGCTGGGATACGTGGAACTACAATATATCAGTGATTTTTTTTTCAAGTACACAGGGAAGTTGCTTGAGAAACTGTGACTTACCATTCGGTTCTGGCGAAGAAGTATGTGACTTGATGTTTAATGGCAATGTTGACTCGGGTCATTATAGCGTTATAAAACTTTATCATTAACCCCAGGGTGTGAAAAGTACAAAAAGAAAAAGAAAAGGTAATCATTAACCGGGCGTAAAGAGACATACCGAACGAAAAGAAATGTAGAGAACCATCGAACTAAAAAGGTAAAGAGCAGTGTTGGAGTTAAATGTGCTCTGGAAGTCCCTACAAAAAAATACCAACTCTTTTGAATTGGGGTCGTTAGATTGGATTTGTCAATACTTCAAATCTATGAATTTCGAGTCAGAACAGACTAACTGGGACACAAAAATGTTTTAGTTTTCCTGCAAAGTGATCTGAAGGAAAGTGGTAATTGAGTTTAAGTTTGAGTATGGAATGTGAAATAATACCCATAGTAGGGGACGGAAACTTATTGTTTTGATCAATATAATTTATTCTCTATAGCCACCAGAACAATCATAGGGAAATCCGCTTGCAAGTTGTACAGATAATTGCTAATGATTGGTAAACATACAAACATTTTATCGTAAGTGATTAATCTTACTCAAGATCAGTGTTCGACGTCCAAATTTTACCTTCTCGAGATGACGAGTACGCTGGGATATTTGGAACTACAATTTATCAGTGAACCAGGGGTGCCCAACCCCCCTTAGACTCATGACGCACAACCCCCCCCCAAAATGGAGCAACAGCCCCCCCCCCCCCCACCATAAATGATGTACACAACATTATTCCCCCGCCCAGTACTATTTGTAAAACTATAAAAGAAGTTTTATAATTTTTTTAGATATTTAAAATTCAAACCCAGTTGATATGAATAAAGTTATAGGTTTGTCTGTACATTGCTCAGAATTATACATATTTTGGGTTATTTATGTTTTATACATTGAAGAAGTTGAAACATGTCTTATCTCTATTTATGTCCGTCTGTCACGGCCCAGAAGGCATTTTTATGCAGCCTACTCTAAAGAAAAATAGAGTACCGATTATGATTCTAATGGTTTAATTGTATCCAAAGGATTGCCGAGAGAGTCCTTATAGCCATTAAAATATGGCCTCACTATTTTGGAAATAAAACAACGAACGATCAAAAACACAATTTTGTGTGTTTTTTCTAGTTTATTTTCTCCATGTTTACTACATACGTCATTAATTTATGAAATGCTAATAATCTGTTAAGAGAACACGTCATATATGAAGTTACGAACAGCTGTTTTGATAAAGATTCCTTTTCCTAGCTGTCACTTATATGTTTACATAAATGTTGTTTACGAATACTGTGAAGGCCCCAACCATTTCCGATCACGTTTGTAACCATTTACGATCACGTTTGTAAGCAAATCCAAAACCAAGTGAGATTAATAACCGTGTGTGGCTTTATTTATTTATTATTTATTTATTCCAACGGCATATATCACCAATTTACAATGAGGGTACAAGAAGCCTATGTGGTACAACATGCATTTAACAGAAAACATAATACAACAAACTTAAATCTATGGCAGGATCAGAGCAACATTGGTAACAAGAAATATAATCATGACTAGGAAAGCAATAATTAACAATGAAGTACAAAATGATTGTGAAAAAGCAATAACAAAGGTAAGAATTTGGACTGGCAATGGCAATACAGTTAACAATCGATCAGCAAAAGCAAGGTAAATCTTTGGCTAGGAAAGCTATAATATAACAATGAAGTCGAAATAGAATATGAAAAAGCAATAACAATAGTAAATATTTGATCCAACAAAACAGTATTAAACAAACGATAACATAACTCAAACATGATTAAATTTACAGAAAACGAAAAAGATAGCAAATTACGAATAACATAACAACGGGAGACACTAAGTTTCATTGGCAGGGGACCAGGACGGCTGCTAGGCTGTCATGAAAGAGGTCCACTGAAGCCGAGACGTAGTTGCCGGAACGCATGAGCCTTGGGATAGGGCTGTTCTGGAGGTAACTTCTACCTGCATGCTCCAGCTCAAATAAACGCTGCTCCCTAGTCCTGATGGTGGGCACTCTGAAATTCATCTTCTCCAGGAGGTAAGGACAAACTACCTTGCTGTTGAGGGACACATCTGCTAGCTACTCGTCTTCTACATGATAATGGCTGCAGCCCGTAGGATTCTGAGATGACGTCAATGGGGACTTCTAAGTAGTTGAACCCCTCTCGGCGTCCCAGGAACCTGATGAATCGTCTTTGGACTGACTCTAGCTGATCTGTGAGGTCGAGTTGGTATGGAGACCATACAACCGAAGCATACTCAAGTAGCTGACGGACAAGGGACTTGTATAAGGGACTTTGTTGGCTTTGGCTTACATAACGGGTTTGATTTATCACGGGTACTAATATGTAACTGTAAATTAAATTAAATAACTAGCCATCATCCAGATCGGGAACCGTAGATTCTGTGTGTATCAAGTTGTACTTGAATTTTGATTACAGGGAAAAGACCGTGAATCAGTGTTGTACAGGACTGGAAAACTTATCTTTCTATATAAATAAAATTAGAGTTTTATAAGTCACCTCAATTTAAGGAATTTTTTATTGCCATAATATCCATATAGCGTTCGTAACCTCTGCTTAACGAATTGTCAGCGTCTTTTCTCGATATAACGATCCCCTCTCCCTCCCTTTAGAAACATCACAGCTCACAGCTCCTTTGATGAAAATGAAATGGAAACAACGCTTGCGCCAACAATCGTCTGCTCCGTCTTACACTTCTGTCTGCTGTGCGCTATGTTACAACAGATTTCAGATACAACAGCTGGGGAATGATGACGATATAATGCTTAGTAAACTGTGATTGAGTGATTAGTATCCATGGTAACTTAAATAAGGCTGTGATTGGCCAATGAGTAGGCCTAAATATGGCGACTTGTTGAATTTGTGTATGAATTGAAGAGAAACCTATTAAAGAACAAAGAAAAAGAATAACAAGATTGTTCTCGTTACATTCTTTTTTAAGAGTGTTTTAATTATCTCTAAATATAATTTTACACTTTTTTATTACTTATCTATCAATTCCTATGCTGTGATACAGCACCTATCGGTAGCCTATCTGTCTATCATGAGCAGTACCTTATAACACTTTCTAAAGGTTCCTTTAATATTTACGTTATTTATAGCAATGCAATGTTTGGCTGGTGATTAGTAGAGTTTGAGTTAGCTATAATTTTAAACGTTGCCATTTGTACAACTGAACCAAGATAAATGATTTGAAATTTACAATAATAATGTTATTGCACAATAATAATGATTGTGCAATATTGAATTTTGTTTATAAAAATGATAATCGTGACGTTAATGGCTGTTTACAGCGTTTTAATGAGTTTGTCATATGTTTTTATAATATATTGGATTAACCGTATTTTTTCATTACCCCCCCCCCTCTCACTATTAACTCAGGTAATCTAGTATCTACACAATAGTGTAAAGTATTGTAGCCTATGCTACTTGATTGTATTTTAACGAGCTTTATGCCAACAAAGTGTTCTGTGCTAAGTCGCGGTGTAGCTGGACGTGTCTGTACCACGCGTTATCTTTTATCTATCACAGCAGTTGAGCCATGCGTCCCCTCCCTCTTAGATCTCACGTCTTGCTAATCTTAAATAATAACTTCCTACACGAATCCTAAACTATCCTAAAATCCTATTTTAACTAATTGAATTCAATAATATAACTATTGTTATTAATTAATCCCCTTTCTATCTGGCGACTTCGTAATATATTTTGGATTGTCGTCACGTTGAACACTGTTGCAATCAGCTTTAGCCAACCCCCCCCCCCATTTGAATTTTTTGAGCCCCCCCCAAGAATTTCAATGACGCAGTCTGCGTCACAGCCCCCCCTTGTGGGCACCGCTGAGTGAACTATACCCTAACTATATTTTTTCGAGTAGGCCTACACAGGGAAGTTGCTTGAGAAACTGTGACTTACGATTTCGGTTCTGGCGAAGAAGTATCTGACTTGATGTTTAATGGCAATGTTGACTCGGGTCATTATAGCGTTATAAAACTTTATCATTAACCCCAGGATGTGAAAAGTACAAAAAGAAAAAGAAAAGGTAATCATTAACCGGGCGTAAAGAGACATACAGAACGAAAAAAACATGTAGAGAACCATCGAACTAAAAAGGTAAAGGGCAGTGATGGTGTTAAATGTGCTCTGGAAGTCCCTTCTAAGAAATGCCAATTTTTTTGAATTGGGGTCGTTAGATTGGATTTGTCAGTACTGCAAATCTATGAATTTTTAGTCAGAACAGACTAACTGGAACACAAATATTTTTTCCTTATGTTGTCACAAGGGGAAGGTAAAATGAACTCCTTATGAACATTTTGAGTTTATGGAAAATCTTATCAACAGCGACTAATAAAAGTATTAAGGGTCAAAAGAGACAAAAAACTATTTGAGTAAAATATAATACAAATCTGCATTTGAAATGGCCAGTTCTAAGTCTCACTTGAATAAAAATCTTTCTGGTAGTGGTAGTCATAGTGGTACATAGTTTTAAAATCCACGACTCCTTTTCCATCAAATTGGACCATTAATACCCTCTAACATTGAACAAAGTATGCCCAACTTTATATATACGACGTAAACACAGCTTTTACTCACAGTATGGGTCAAAGATTCGTGAAATGCGACCAACTGCTGATGCGTGATTTACATATAGGCTGATTATCTTTATTCCATACAACAAATGTAGTAAAAAAAAAAACGACGAATATAGGAATATACTTGAGCAAATGATCTAAATAGCAGAAATAGCTGCTTATTAGGTTATCAGCATTGCCCAGTTCGTATACTATTTATTTTTCAAATGAAACTCGAATTAATATAAAACATTCATTTGGTTAAAATAATATATCGGTTTGATTAACATAAAATAGTTTATACAGGTAAACTATCAGCTATATTCCATGTAAAAAGTTAAAAAAAACCCTAAATAAAATACAAAGATAAACAGTAGGCTACCGGTATTTGTTAATTATTATTTCTTTTATTACTGACAATATTCCCGTGGCGGAGCACGGGCGGTTAACTAGTACAACTTCCAACTTACTTAGTCTAAACTTTCCAACAACAAAAGATAAGTTTTAAACCTAGAGATAGTTAGTTAACCTATAGGAAATTTAATCTGGTATTTATTCTATAGGAAGTTGAGTAGTCAAACATGGAAAGGCTGCTCTTACAGGAGCAAGAATTTTGCTTGGAAGCCCATTATTTAAGGCAAGTATAAATACTATTAAATTTAGTCTAAGGGACCACAAAACCCTTTTTTTCTACTTTGCTGAATACATATTTTAGGAGTACCATTTTCACATTTAGAGCAGTACAAGCAAAATACTTGTAATAATTAAACTGTGAAATTTACACATTCATTTATTTTTAGGAATGCTTACTACTTTTGACTCATCCAAAGACTTACCTTAAACTCGCTTTCGGTGATGTAGAATTCGAGGTAGAACGGCTGACCTCGATGGAACGGAAACTCTTGAATATCCTGTAATCCTTCCTCCTTGCCATATTTGCCTGCCAGGCGGGTGTTACGAGCTACGTACTGCAAAGACCTTGGGTCACACCTTACATCAAAGTGGAGTGCAATATCAGTCTTGTCTTTTCTTCTATTTTTAGATTCTATCAAGAAGTTTACTGTAAACCTGGAACGACCAGAGATTAGTTTGTCTGGTGCCTATTGATTCAGGAGAAATTAGTGAACGTGAAGTATTAATTAGGATTCTCTTTTTAAGACATTAAAATCTTCAATTATATCAAGGCTGTAGCCAGGACAAACCTTTGGGGAGGGGGGACTGGTCAGCAATAATTTTATATTTAAAAGCCATTTTGTGACTTTTTAAAGAAATTTTTAACGTCTAAAACTGTGTCAAACCCTCCAAAAACTCCCATTTCACCTCTTGTTTCTCATGAGCAAGTGGGTAGTCGACATTTAAAAAATTAAACTATGACGATTGCATTCATGAATTTCAAAACATGATGTAGACTACGGCCATATCCTCCTAAAAGGAGTTTGGTGACTTTCTAAATCCATGTTTAACGTCTAGAAATGTGTACAAAAACCTCCCATTTAACCCTTTATTTGTCATGAACAAGTAGACATTTTTAAGACTAAACTATGACGATTGCATTTATAAATTTCAAAACATACTTGCTACGGCAATAATTTGTACTACTAAATTTCAGGATTTCTGGGGGGGAGGGGTTGACCCCCTAACCCCCCCCCCCCTTGGCTACGGCCTTGTCAATTGTATTGCATTTAATTGCATTACAACAACATTAAACAACAAACATAAATAAAGCATATAAACTCCAATAACATCCCTAAATTTTCTACAAGAAAAAAAGGTGGAAAAAATAGCCTTAGCAATAATATTAATAACATATCAAATTCGGACAAAGTTCCCAAGAAAAATCCATAGGCCTACAACAAAATTCATAGTCCTACAACCACTGAGCTATAATTCTAACTGGAGGTAGCACTGAATGTCAAAGATGCGTGTCGCCAGCCGCCATGTTTGCGTGAGGTGGGTGTCCATAAGAAGCCATGTTATTGCTATGACAAAAAAACTCACTGCTATACAACCTAGTTATAAGAAGCCATGTTATTGCTATGGTAAGAAAACTTACTGCTATACCAACCTAACAAAATCAGCGACTCGCTTTTGACAGACTTCTGCCATGGCAGTGCTACCTCCAGTTATAATTTTAGCTCAGTGCCTACAACAGAATCTATAATATTAAAACGAAACAGTGTTTTTTATTTCACGATTCTGAATCAACCACTCGACGGATTTTCATGATTTTTGTGTTGAAAGAAAGATAATTTTGAGAACTAGGGAATGTCGAAGCCATAATTTTAGTTTAGGGTCCCAGTTTTTTAGAAATTAAGTTTTAATTTTTTTAAAGTCTAGCAGCCGACGCTAAGATTCTAAACTAGCTTTTGGCATAAAATAATTTGCTTAACATAACAGCTGTAAACATTCAGCTTTTGTGTCACAAATTCAGCATTTGGATAAAAATGTCTGACATACTTAGGGTTGACTTATTTATACTATGTGTAATGCTAATCGTTGATACGTTCAATTCTTCTGTTAGAGGATGACAGATTAATTAAATATACATAGTAAAATACTAGGTTCAAATTATTTTTTAAAGCAATTTTTGTAATCTTCGATTTGTTTTAGAGCAATTTAATTTGTTTTAACTAACAGCTGGTTAAATAAAAACGATGGAACTATGAGGTTATTTTATTTACTCTTATTTTGTCATTGATTATAGGATATAAGTAAGATTAGTAGAGATAATTAGACCACAGTTTAAAATAGTTTAGACCAAAATTAATTAAACCACAGTACAAATCGAGGCTCTGTACACAAGTCTTAATAAAAAAGGATAAATGCAAAGTATTTTATTGCTCCACTTTTCAAGGAAAGATTAGAAAAATAACAATGTGTACATGTTTTAATTCTTCATGGTAGCTTTCTGTTTACAATTAATGTTTGTCTGCTTTAACTTTGTTTGGATTAGGCCCGGAAATATTGATGTCATAAAAAGAAGATCAAGAATAATCAGGAATCACGATGTTAAATTACCACCACAACCTCAGCCGGGTTTTATACAAAGATAAACAGATGGATGACATAGATTGAACACAACTTGGATTGATAACATATTTTCTAACATGAAATTGATTTCAGATAAAGCTGAAACCCAAATTATCAATGCAGGTGCATCTGATCATGAAGCAATACTATTATCACTAGCTGACTTAAAACCACCCCCCTCAGCTTTAAAAAGATCAAATGTTTCTTTTAAAAAAGGTCATTTAATTCAGAAAATTTAAATTATTTCAAAAATAGTCTTATTGAATCAGATTGGAAATTTAATCCTTTTGAAACTGTAAATACAAATTATAATAGCTTTTTAGATTGCATCCTGAAAAATTTTAATCAAGCTTTCCCTCTTAAACAATCAAAATGTAATTCTGTTAAACATGCATCCAAAAACTGGATTAAACTTGGTATAAAAATATCCGCTGAAAGAAAACGGCTTCTCCATATCGAGTCAAGATGGAATAAGTCTAAGGACTTCCAAGATTATGTAAAAACATACAGGCAAATATTCAAAAAAACAATTGAACTCTCTAAAAAGAAATACAATGATCATTACATTAAAAATTCTCTTAATAAGACCACAGCAACATGGGAGATTGTTAAAAGGGAACTTGGACAACAAAAGGAAAAATCTGAATTACCTTATCATATTCAAAACGATTCCTTGAAACTTACACATTTGGCTAATAATTTCAACAACCATTTTCTATCTGCACATACATCAGTAGGGTGTAGTCCTAAAGCCAAAGAGGCTCTGAATTTTATAGATTCAAAGTACTACAAAAATACATTTAAATTCAAACTAATTACCGAATCAGAAGTAAGGAAAATTGTATTTTCCTTAAATAACACAAGATCTGTCGGTTGGGATCAGATTCCATTGTTCTTACTTAAGCATGTAATAGATGAAATACAAACTCCTCTCTGTAATCTCATAAACCAGTCCTTAATGCACGGTATTTTCCCAAACAAACTAAAATACTCCGAAATTTTACCACTCCATAAGAAAAATGATAAAAACACTTTAGAAAATTACCGCCCAATAGCTATGCTCTCAAGTATATCTAAAATATTTGAAAAATGTGTTGACCTACAATTGAGAACTTTTTTAGAAGATAATAATATTTTTAATGATTCCCAATTTGGATTTAGAAAAGGATTAAGTGCTCAACAATCAATGACTAAATTAGTAAACTGTGTTGCGAGTTCCTTGGATGGATCTCAGAAGACAACTGGAGTTCTGTGTGATTTAACCAGAGCTTTTGAATGTGTTCATCACAGTTTGTTAATAGACAAACTTGAAAAATATGGAATAAAAAACAAGGAACTAAATTGGTTTTCTACATACTTGAGGGATAGATATCAAAGGACTAAAACTATCAAATTTGGACATACTATAAATTCTAATTGGGAAAAAGTTGAAGTAGGGGTGCCTCAGGGATCAATATTGGGCCCCTGTCTATTTCTTATTTATGTAAATGACCTACCAAATGTGTTAAAGATGGATGTATTTCAATTTGCTGATGACACAATGCTGTTATGTAAGGGACCCAATGTTGAATCCCTTCAGCACACAGTAGATACAGAATTGGCCGCTTTAAGTGACTGGTTTAGAGTAAATGGGCTCCCCTTGAACATGGACAAGACTCAAGTAGTTAATTTTCGATCAGATCATAGAAATAGTTTAAAACAGACCACTTTTACAAATCATCAGTTAATGTCTGAGGAGACAGTCAATTTTTTGGGTATTCATATAAACGAAAATCTTGACTGGCTTCCTCACATTGACAAACTACGGAAAAAACTTTCTTCAGCAATATTTTCTCTCAAAACAATTTCTCAAGTTACAGATACTAAAACTCAATTAACAGTTTATCATTTATATTTTTCATCATTAATGTCATACGGAATACTTGTCTGGGGAAATTCTTGCCATAGTAAGAAGATTTTTAGGCTTCAAAAGAATGCACTTAGAATCATAGCTAAAGTACCCCGAAGAAGTCCGTGCAAAGTCATCTTTCAGGCTTTTAGCGTTTTGACATTTTATGACCTGTATATTTTAGAAGCATTATTTTGGGTATTCAACAATTTGTCCATTTTCAGGGAGGGTCACACAAACCATAGGTATAACACTAGACATAAGAACCTAATTAAGCCCACTAGCCATAGATTATCACTATTTGAAGCATCACCTCAATATATTGGACCGAAATTGTATAACTGGATTCCTGATCATTTAAAAAACATTGCAAATCCAAAAAAGTTCAAACAAAAATGTAAAGAATGGTTATTGACAAAAACATTTTATTCTTTAAATGAATTTTTAAGTGGAAATTGGGAGGGTTAAGTGTTGAAATTATTTTATTTGGATTTATTACTATTTAGATTTAAGTATTATAATGCATTGACAAATGTCCTGTCATTTTATGATGTAATGGCATTCTGTAAATAAATAAAAATAAATAAATAAATAAACTTCAGAATGTTGACTAAACTTAATGCTACCTAATCCATATGAAGAGGTAGATGGATAACAAATATTTTGTTTGAATTTAATTTTGTATGCGGGGTTGTATGAAAAGCAATGAATTTGTTTGAATATGCTTGTTGATAGACAATTCATATGATCATATTTTAATAAACCAACGCTGGAATGTAGAGGGGTAGCGGTATTCTACCCCCTGAAATTAACCCTCATGAAAAAACGCCTACGTCATTTTGACGCCACGAAGGTCGGGGCCTAAACACGGTTGAGAAGCAGCCTGCGACTGGAAATTTACCCCCAATATATTATTATTAAATAATCAACATGTAATTGTTTGCTTAACAAGTGATTTGCCATACCATATGGAATTTTACCTACGGAAATCTACCTCCAGAAATCTACCCGAAATCGAACAAATCTACCGGAAATCAGTGGTCAAATCAGAAATGTCTGATCCCAGAATTCTACCCTGGGAAATCAGGTTTATTGGGATTTTGATTAATTAATTACAACTGTTCAGTACACAGTAAAATTTGAGTTGATT